AGTACAATGCAGAAACAACACAACTTCCCGAAGCTAAGCGACCATTTCTAACCCATCAGGAGAGGGAGGAAATAGACCTGCTTTAGGTTTTCAATGATTTCTTCCCCTTGGTAGGCACCGTGCACGACACGTTAGCACACTGAAGCTTCTGGAAGATCCTACAGTAAACCCACTTTAACTTTAATCGGTGTGCACAGTTGCCAGGAAATATGCAGTATGCCTTTGGGAAATACTTACTGCAACCTCTTCATTTTTCAGTTGAGCAAAAGGAAGCCCCGAGTTGAGTGGCCTACGGAGGTTCCACAGTTTCGGTGGATGAGCTCGCTGATCTCCCGGCTTTCGGAGCAGGGATCCTTGAACAGGAATGCCCGGGCCGGCTCTCCACAACGCCCTGGCCAGTGCCTCACCCCACCAGGCCTCTCATGGTCTAGAATCCTCTTCGTACTGTTGGTGTGGTACTGTCACCACTCGTCTGAAGAGGAGCCCAGCTTTTCCCCAGGACTTCCCGTGCAAGTCCGGTCTCACTTAGAACCCTGCCCTCTAATGCGCAGAGGCAGGCTAACTGCGTTTAGCACTAGGCTTGTTAGGGAGATGTACTTAAGAAGTTTTAAATAAAATCTAAACTGCTTTCAAGAAAAATGGCTGGGTGTGCATGCCCAAAACTTGAGGACTTGGCCCATCACCGCAACCTGCATCCTTGGGTTCCAGAGATGGATGGACAGAGTGTCTCCCACTAGAGGCACTGGGTATGGCCAGGCACTCGGTCTGAGCAAGGGCTAAGGCGTCAGGGCCCGGGCCTGGGCTGGGGGGTGGGGAAGGAGGCCTGGCTCTCTGCAGAGCAAGCAGTGGCCTGAAGCAGACCTCTGGGCAGGGTGGTGGGGCCAGGTCTCTCATCTCGTGCAGCTCTCTGCCCTGTCCCCGGGGGAGGCTGGAAGATCGGACTTTTTCCGTCCCTTAGGGAGGTGGTTGGTGTGGAAAACTCTGGGGACATTGTCCTCTCTAGTTCTTCTCTCTGACCAGAGCCCCTTCCAACTACTCCATCAGTGATGTCCTGTCCCCGCTGGCCCAGGCGGGCCTGCTGGCTGGCAGCTCAGGCTCTCTAGTGACCCAGAAGCGGTCCCGAAGAGTAGCTTCTCTTCTCTGGATTTTGACTCACCTGAATCTGCTCCTTTCCGAGACATCCAGGTCATGGCTTTGACTTTGGAGCAGGGTGTCCCTCCTGGGGAGCCGTCTGCAAGGAGAAAGGCTGAGAGCCACTGTCCGGGCCAGCTCTGCAGCCTGGCCCTGGGCACCGCTCGGCAGGTGTTTTCCTGGACAGTGTTTCTAGGACGAGATGCTGGCTCCCACTCCTGGGGGACAGTGCTTCTTCTGTCATTTATGAAGCTGCATAGGGGCCCCTTTCAAAGACAAGCTGTGGCTCGGCGGCTCCGGTACGTGCTCCTGGCTCTCTTTCAACACTGCCTGGCTCGGGGCACCATCCCATAGGGAGTTCTCCCTCACATTTCCCCACCTCTAAACCGGCCCAGACTGCTCTGCAAAGGGCCTGCGAGGAGGGACTTTCGACATCACAAGAGGCACTTTCCCATGAGGTTGCCGAACTTGCTTTCATTACAGGGTTGGGTTGTTGGGGGTCATTTTTTACCAATTTTTGGGGGGTATACTACACATAACCCATGCAGCCTTATAGTGTACCACTTATGTGACTTCAGCTAATTAACTTTTTAGCTGTGTCTCTACAGCATTCTGAGGGGAAGAAAACGGTACCAGGCTCCCTATGACAGTCTCTTGATACGAATGCACTCATCTCTGGCTGGTTTATGAAAACTATTATTTCCAAACCCAAGTTTACCAGTCCTTTATTCTGCATAATTAAACCATGTTTTTCAGGCAGCATCTTGAGACCCATGTGGTAAAATGACATTAAGAAAGGAGATGCTGGGTTGGCACCAGCGCCCTGTGCCCCTGGGGGGGGGAGGGGGCTGTTGTGAGGGTGGGGGTGGGGGGCCCTGGGATGGCGGAGTCGGCCCTCCCTGCCCCGGCCACCTGTGAGCTTCTGGGCCAGAGAGCCAGTGGACCCCACCCTGTGCACTCCGTTCTGGGAGCCCGGCAGTCCTTGGAACTCGACCTTCCCTAGTGGCCGGTGCGGTCTGGTCTGAGGGTTTGCTGGGAGCGCTCCTCCACTCCTCCAGCGGGGGTGGAGAATCCTGGCTGATCCCCTTAGGTCTGTCACACTCACTGCCTCGGCCTCCCAGCAGTTTAGCACTCACTGGAGGCGTGGGTGCTGGCCAAGAGAAAGTGTGTCAGCTCATCCCGTGGGAGAGAAGCCCGGGCAGCCAGGGGGAGACCCACTGGGGTGTGGCCGAGGGGAGCAAGAGGGATCCGGGGCCACGGATCCCGGGCCGTCAAAGGAAGCACTTGGCGCATCAGCTGGGGTGGCCGTTCGAATGGCACGGGTGGAGACGGCCTCTTCCTGGCAGAGGGCTGTTTCCTCTCAGGATTAGAAACGAAAGAATTTCTCCTCGCTCAGAATCTCAGGACTGAAGAGCCTCTTACAGTCACGTCAGAGCAGATACTGGAGGGAAGCAGGGCGCACGGAGCTCAGAGGGCCTGGAGTGGGGCTCCGGAACGGGAATAAATGACGGACCGGAGGCCACTCTTCCTTCCAGGAGGACTTCACGCATTTGTGTCTCAAGCGCTGTGGTGTCCCAGTTGCTTGCTCGTTTACCAGGGACAGGCCAGGGGCAGAAAGAACAGAGCGGCGGTGGAGCCCAGGTTTCTGTCCCACCAGCTGGGTAAAAGCTGGGGTTCAAGCAGTTCCCCTTTAACAAGGGCTGCACCCTTGAGAGGGTTAAGGTGCAGGGTTCTGTAGGTGGTCCATACAGACCTGTGAGGCGGTAGGTCCCTGGGGTGGCAGAAATGCAGTGGGGAACTCTCGGGAAAGGAGAAACGACGGACCATTTGAATGAGCTGGAGGCCAGCCCGAAAGCAGACGCGGTAACCCTCGGTTCCCTGCACGCAGTGCAAAGTGGTGTCAGGACCACCCTAGGTTTCTGCCTTTTGGAGAAGGGTGGGGACAGTGAGCTGAAGGCCCCCCACCCCCTAACAGTTGAAGGTGGCTGGTGCAACTGAGTTACTTCATTAGCAGTTTGAACACTACCATGCACCTGCCGATATCATCCAATGCCCCCACCCGCCCTTCACCTTTTTTGGGGGCGAGGGAGCTACAGTTGCACATGCAGCGAACATGGGCTCAGAAAGGGGCTGCACAGAACAAGAGCAGGGAACCCCGAACAAGGAAAGCGTGAGGGATGAGGTGCAACTATTCCCCTTAGCTGACACCCAGCTTCCCGCTGCGGTCCTGCTGCTCCACGCTGCTGCAGCTTGTGTTGGGAGCATTAACAGGAGCTTTAAGTAAATTTAGAAAATGAGCCCATGGTTCACATGGATGGCTTCAGTCTTTAGTGAGTTGGGCAACTGTTTCTAAAATACGCAGAGAAACAAATCTGTGGACCTGCTTCTTGGCAGCACTTGGGTAACAGACTGGGAGCCACAGGCTCGTTCTTTTGACAGCTCAAGAACCAGGGCTCTCAGCTGCATGGAGGGCGAGCTCACCTGCTGCCCACGAGGGCAGCCCACCTCGATGCTGCCTTTCTCAGAAGATGACTAAGTGTAAGCTCATAGCTCCTTATAGGCAAATATCGTTATGCAACACCAGACTGAGAAGCTGGGAATAAACTAGGTCTGTTCATTAATGTGACCCAGAAATCTTAGATTCTATTTCAGATCGTTTTTCTGTCTGTGGAATCCAGAAATCACTTCAGTATCTCCACGCTTCAATTTTCTCCTGGAAATTGAAAGGAAGGAAAAGGTACCCACTACCTAATGGAGCTTGGAGATTTAGCAGTGTGCTCTTGGATAATTGCAACACAGTCTCCAAGAGGCAGGCATTTCTCTCCTACAGTGAGTTTTGGGGTGAGGGTATAGGAGCTAAACAGATTCTCTTAATGCTACCAGGAGAAGAATACTGAACACTAGAATAAAAAGAGCACGTATCCTTTTCAAAAGAAGTTTGTAGAAGGAAAGGGATTTGCTAAGTTTTCTTCCCAGGGCTTTAAAAACAAATCTCTTCTGAAGATGCTGACTCGCACTGAATGAATGGCCCCAAAGCTGACCATGGGGCTGGTGGGCAGTGATCCTAGACATGGCTCCTTAGTCCCAGCCTGCCTTTAAGGCATTGGTCCCTTGCTTTTGGTGGGAGGAGAGAAGTGGGGATGTATTTTCCACAAGGTTTACTCACTACCTGGTGTGAGTGATAAAGATACAATGAATATTGACTTGAAGTTCACAAACTTTCATTAGATATGTTTTGATTCTTACACAAAATTCAGGTCAGGTAACCTTGCATGACTGCTACTATTGACAGCACAGATTTATAGTCCTATGACTAAAACTTAATGCGTGCTTAGAATTCGAGTGTTGATAGTGGTATGTAGTTGTCCCCCAAAGCTGAGTGACCGCATGTCTGGCACCTCTGAGAACAGCAAGGGGACAGTTCTGTAGAGGGCACGAGGCCGTGTTTCGTGGTGGGCCTCCCGTGACCCCCAGCCTGACTCCCTCCCCTGGGCAGAGTGAGGTGGGGCACTGAGACTCATCAGTAATAACAACAATTAACAGTTGTATCAGCACTTACAGACCACGGTTTAGTAAGTGTGCTACAAAGTAGCAAAGAAGGTGTCGGTGTATTCGGCACCTCTGATTGTGCAGGTGCTAGACCGGCTGCATCCTGAATGGGTGGTCCTCTTACAAAAGCGTGGAAAAAACAAACACAAGCTCCAATCAACTCATCAGTGAGAGAGCCCAACCCCTGACCTCCCAAAAAGAGCAGCAATGATAAGAATCTCAGGGTATCAGCCACTGGCAGTAACCCAGGGATCAAAGAGGCAACTGGGGGGTGGGTCATACCAATGGAGACTGGTGATTTCTGCACACAAGCAACTGGATTTTTTTTGATCTGCAAAATTTTATTAAGCAATAGCTGGACAATTCTTACAATTTCAAATCATCAAGAAAAAAAGATTAATCCATTTCAATAATAAAGACAGAAAAGAACTTGGACAAACCGCACCATGTTAAATGCAAACCATGAATGCCTTCTAGAACATCTCCCTCACAGTCTAACACACAAAATACATAAGAAGAGAGGCAATTTGGGGTGAGCTCATTAGAAAGCAACTGGGCACCTCAACAGATCTTGCTTGGAAAGTAAAACAGGGAGGGATGCGAACTGATGGACCGAAAGGAACCAGCCGGCACGAGCAGGCAGCACGCCGTCCCAGCGTCTGGACGAGAAGGGGCTGGTGGTCTGGCTGGTCTGGGGCCTGCGCCCTGCACTGTGCACTCACAGTTAAAAAAACTAAGGAGAAAAAAATGGGCAGTAGTGAGAAACTCAGCAATTATGTCCAAATGTGCAGTGCCAAAATAATGCGTTCATAAACAAATGCCAAACCAACACCCTTTGGTAAATAATGTAGTGCCTTTTCCAGTCAAATGCACAGCCCATGCTTTTCTGCAACACCAAAGAAAACATTTTATCTACAATAAATGAGATCTTAGAACCCTACCCCTCCCCTTTAAAATAACTTGTAAACAGAAAATATAGGTACAAGTAAAGTTACAAGAAAACTGCACAAAGCCAAAGAAATGAAATCAAAATAAGCTACAACCCTTCAGAGTTTTATCAGCTGGAGATAGAAAATACACAAATGATGAAGTTTTGAATTGTGTTCTAGTACAAAATCTCAAGAACTCAACATTTTTGACACATTTGTCTCAACTAACTTTGTTCACAACCGCGGACTGGGCCAAGTGACAGACGGGCCGCACGAGGACACAGGGCTCCCTCCCAGGACCCCCACTCGAGGGCAGCCCAGCACCGCAGTGCACGCCCACGTGTCCCAGGTGCCTCGGCCCGCACTCCTGGTCTTTCCTCAACCCGCTCTGTGCTCTCCGGGCAGCTCCTCTGACTTCTCTGGAATTGGTGCTTTTGTGTAATCTTTTGAAAACAAACACAATTCCAGATGCATCTTTCTGGAGGTGAATCTTCTAAAGATACTGTTTTTAATGCCCTGACTTACATTCAGTAGATAGCTCATTAACACAGGAAAAGAAACATTTCTCGAGGAGAAGGCCAGGTTTTGAAACACACTTCTGAGTGTGCACAGTGGAGGGAGGAACTGGACAGGAGTTTAGAAACCATCCAGGCTGCCCCTTCCTCTCATAAGATGGACAGAGGGAGGCCCCCGGTCGCCCTCCAACTCTGCAGGGGGCAGGCTTGATCCTGGGTCTGCCGACTTCCTGCTCTGACGGCAGGACCAGTGTACACCTGCCTGCACGTCCTCGTGGGACACTCGACCAGGGCACAATGGCCTCGGATGCAGAACGCTGACCTGCACGGCCCTGAACCGGACTGCCAGCAGCACCGCGGGACCTCTGCTTCCTTCCCACCGGTTTTTCCGGAACAGAGAGTCAGTGGAGGGCGTGTATTCAAATCCGTTCCTTTGGTTTCATAAAGTTACAGTTAAAACAAATTTAAAATTGATTTTTATGTTTGTTAATATACTGCTTCCCTCAAATAGGCATGGAGTTTTCATGTAGTTGACTGTTTACTGGGCTCCTATTTTTAAATGTAGGGATTCAATGAGGTTTCTTACTATTCATAAATTGCTGTTAATGAACATAAAACATGTAGAATTCTGCTGCTGAAAGTACTGACTTTAATAATATTTAACAAATTGAGACTGAAAACAACCTGTAAAACAAGCACAGGCATCACCGTCACCTCTGGAATTACCTGCTCCTCGGGGCGGCTGCTCACTCAGAGGCTCACTCGCGTGTGCAAAGCATCCAAGATGGAGGCCTCTGTCTCCGGGTGGGGAGAATGCTTGTTGGGCAGTGGGCTAAGAACTTAGTAAGTTTAATTAATTAGTTGTTAAAAACACTCATATTTTCTTCTCACATGTATTTGTAGTAGCACTAATTCCAAGGATTTCCCTCAATTTTGTTCTTAGTAAGTTCCAAAAAGTATACCCTTTCATGGTCTTTTTATCTCAAAAACCAATCAGAATTTTATTTATTTAAACTTTTAAATGTATTTTTTGTTTTTTTTTTTAAGATTTTTTAAATTTACTTTTAGAAAGAGGGGAAAGGAAGGAGAAAGAGAGGGGGAGAAACATCAGTGTGTGATTGCCTCTCACACACCCCCTACTGGGGACCTGACCTGCAACCCAGGCATGTGCCCTGACTGAGAATCGAACTGGTGACCCTTTGGTCCACAGGCCAGCACTCAATCAACCGAGCTATACCAGCCAGGGCCCAATCAGAATTTTAAAAACTGAAACTTATCACTAATAATTCCTTCTCTTGTTAGTCTCATTCTAATAAGTCTCTCATTTCATATCACCTTTTATTTTTAATTAAAAATAAAATACTCAAAAGTAGGGAAAATATTTTAGGATATATTATCTCAGAAATCTTCTTTGTATATAATCAATACCATAAAAAAAGCAAAATGCAAAACAGAAAAATCCCAATAAACCCAGAAAAAAATTTTCCCAATCAGAAAAGGTTATAAACAGTCCAGAAAAAGAAAACCCACAAAAAACCAAACCAAAAAAAAAGGCCCTATTGTATCCTCTTTATCTCTTGCAGCAAAATATACTGCTACCCAGTAAATCATTACAAGCAAACTATTTTCCTAAATAAATAATAGCATGGGTATAACTCACCAGTACATAGTAACAAAGAAATTCCTAAGAACACTATTAAAGCAAGATAAATAATTTTCTCTTGGACAGTAAAACAGAGAATTGCATTTAAATTATTTTAGAAATAGGCTATAATCATATTGCACAACTAATAGTAACCACTGAAACATCATTTCAAACTACAAAAACTCACATAAAAGAATTATTTAAATCTGAATGCATCACTACATTCTTTTTGGAAGAATTTACCCACCAAGAACCAGGTCCACTACTCTGGTCTGTAAGATGGGAACTCTGGCCCCAGCTGGGCGATGCCCTCAGCCTAACTGAATCCTCCTCCTTGGTTCTTTGTGGGCCAGAGAGAATGTGATAGACAGCAGACTGATCTGGGAAAAGAGTGAAACAGTTTCTCCTCTAATTTTTAAACCAAAACAGGGACTTAAAAAATACTTTTAAAAAATTAAAAAATATTTTAAAGTCAAAGTAGGGAATTAGAAGAATTTTTTGAAATGATTTTCTGTAGTATTTTCCATTTTCCTGTTTTCAAACAAAACCCCAACTTAGGGTAGCTCTTGTGCTCCTGCCCTACACAACGTCACACTGAACAACTAAAAACAGTGACCTGGGTCGAGATAACCTCAGTGGGTTTTTTTGCAATTTACCAACAGTAGTCAGCCAACTACCATAACACTGTGACCTTAACCTTGCTGTCCCAGTGGTTCACCTCTTAGTAAACAGTCCACACAGCTAACAAGCGACTGCTTCCTAGGGAAGACAGTGGGACTTCTGTGAAGGGGTTTACTGTGACGAATGCGCAAGATTTTTTGCTTACATTTCTAATTTCTTGAAAACCTTTCTGGTCAACTGAATTTTAATGTAGCTGAGAACACGAAAGACAGCTTCCCAAGTGGCACCATTAGTGTTTCTAGAAGTGTAGGGCAGTGTGGTCTGATGGGAAGGACAATGTCTGTAGTCACGTTTCCAGATCCAGCGATAAAAGGGAAAAGAGATAAACACCACTTCTCAGCAAGCAGCCCCCAGTGACTCACCGTGGCTCTCACTGAGAAAGCTGCCGCCCCGCCCACGCTGGGACCGTCCCGTCCGTGTCCTGCCTTCTCCAGTCAGACAGGCGTGCCAAACCTGTGGGGTTCTGACGTGTGATGAAACTAGTGGAGTCTTCAGTGTAAACATCCTCCAGAGAGGAGCGTAGCCCTTGTACACGTGCGGGGATTCGTCCTCTCCCACCGTCCCTTCCTTTCCCTCCCCCACACCATCAGGAGCACATCCACACCCGGTAACGGCACCCCCATAAAAAGCCTACTTTTACTAGTCAAACAGTGCATTTGCCAAACTACCTTTCATTAACCAAGTCACCTTTGGGGGAGTGACATGATATGTGTGAATTAAATGCTGGCCCCCAAGAGAACCTGTACCTTTAGAATTTTTGGTTGTGTTTTTTAAAAAGTTTTTCGTTTTTACACTAGGGATGTTGTGGGGAATGAAAGGAATGCACACTCCTTGCATCTGAGAGAACAGCGGACTACATAAGGCAGCCTGTCTTCCTGCTGGGGGCCCCGGTCCGGAGCTGGCAGAAGCCAGCCCAGTGGGAAGTGACCACAGGCGATTACATTTCTAAAAAAACACCAGGTGCCTGGCCCCTTTGCTTCCATATACCACTCTCCTGTATTGTTTTGCTTGATTAAAAAGGAAAAAGAAAGACAATAAGGAATAATAAAAGCCCAAAGAAATGACAACACTAAAGGTCAGTGCCCTCCCCTGAGCCTGACAGACTTTTCCAGTTGGCTCTTGTCTTCTGGCCCCCCAGGCACCCGCGCCCCATGTGGGCTCCTCCAGCATCTGGACGCAACCTCTCCAAAAAGGGTCCTTTGTCTTACGCTGCACCGTGAGCTGTCTCCTCACTTGAGGCGCTGAGTGACGTTGGCCAGGGCGACCGCGAAGGCCTGCACAGCTGAGAAGGGGTACTGGAAGTCCAGGATGTACGCATTGCCGTCGATCCTTCCAAACTGCATCACCTGAGGAGGGGGCAGGGATGGAAGCAGAAAGCAGAGACATTAAGGAGAGCACGCGGGACAGGGCGGCCGGCCGGGGCTGCATGGCTCCCGACAGAGGCAGACGTCATAGTCTGCGAGGCACTTGTGCCAACAAAGTGACTGTGGGGGCTTCTGCATCTGAGTCTGAGTCTGTCAGGAACCAAGGAACAGAGAACATGTCAAAGAACACGGTGGGGAAGGTGACGAGCAAAATTCAGGGTGTGAGAAGCTCCACCGCTGAAATGAAGTGGTTTCCTCGCAAAGAAAAAGACAGGAGAAAGTAGAAAAAAGAATCTATAGCTGAAAGAGGCTTAAGAGAAATACCAACTGTCACTGCCCGAAGTTACTGCTGAGACAGAGGACCTAGCAAACCTCCTTCCACTGTGCTCACCTCCCCAGCCTGCACTCCTCTGTCTTTTTGGGACTTACAGGGACCCCCACATAACTGCAACGTATATTACATATATAAATTTGCTTGTGATCTTTAAAAAAAGCTCAGTGATTTTTAGACAGAGAGAGGGAAGGAGGAAGAGAAACATTAATTGGTTGCCTCCTGTACATGCCCTGACCATGGATCAAACCTGCAACCTAGTTATGTGCCCTGACCTGGAATCAAACCAGCAACCTTTCAGTGTGCAGGATGATGCCCCGGCCAACTGAGCCACAGGCCAGGGTCACACAAATACTGAACTCTGCTACTATAGGGTGAAAGCAGCCACGGAGAGTACATAAGTGGATGGGTGTGGCTGTGTCACAATAGTACTTGATGAAAAGAGGAAGCAGTCCAGCCTGTGGACCAGTCTGCTGAGCATATAGCAGGTGCTCAATAAATACTTGCCATATGAATGAATGAAAATGAGATTTAAATATGAGAGGTGAAGGGAATTCCCGGGGTAGGGGAGATGGGCAGTCCCCGAGGACCGGCTCCACAGCAGGGCTACTAAGCAACTCAGGTGGAGCGGGAGGGACTGACCAATGACCCACAGTGTCTAACCGCCAAGAGGAGGTTTACATGCTGCCACAGTACGAGGGAGTGACTTACCAATAAACACACAGAGAAATGAGCAAACACAACTGGGTGATTATTACACCTAGGGAATCCCCACAGAATAAATATAAATAAATAAAAATAGCTTTCACAGGGAAAGGCTAGACAAAAAAAGGAACGTAATTAAACCCTGCCCTGTGGCTCAGCTGGAGCGTACTCACTGGCACGACAAGGTAACCAGTGACTACTGGTAAAACTTAGAGAAGTGGGAAGGCGGTAAGAGTTCACGCTCGTGGCATCCCCAGTTAGCCTGGCCCCATCTACAAAGATCAGTTGTTTTCCACATTTCCCAGGTGGCCTTTGGAAAATGCTCCTCCTCAAAGGCCAAAGCACTGAGACCCTTCACGTGGTTTGAAAAACCCACAGAGACCTGCTGAAGACCTGGAAGTCCGATTATGGCCAGGCCCTGGGACACCCTTACCTGCCGCCCCTCCAGCTCGATCTGGAAGTTCTTGGCTGACTCTTGGGTCACACGCCCCCCGAAGTCCAGCTGGTACACCTGGGTAGCTTCATTCCAGAGAGGCTGCTTGTTGGCCATGACGTACACAAAGCCCTGGCTGCCCAGCCGCCCGTCCTCCCTCTCGCTGGCTTTCCGGCACTTGAACTCCTCCAGCTCGCTGGCCGTCCGCAGGCTCCTCTTGCTCTTCCAGCCCTTCTTGCTGCCCTGGCTCTGGTTCATCAGCTCATCCCCGCTGATGAACAGCTCCGGCTCGCTCTCTGAGCTGTCCTGGAACTCGTTTGTCTTATTCAACTTCTTTGACTTCAGCTGGTCTTTCTGACTCTTCGCTTTCTTCTTCTCTCTTCCCAGGCGGGGGCTGGAGATCAGGGAATTAAAGTCACTCAGAGTCCGAGCCTCTTTCTTCATCCTGCCCTCAGTGATGGCCTGGACGTTTCCTTCTTCTGCCCGGCTATCCAGGCGCTTCCGGTTCTTCTTCCCGAATTTCTCCGTCCGCTGTGGAACGGGGCTTTCTGTCAGGGAGAGAACCTCCTGGAAATTGTCTGTGGTCTCTACCATCACCTCTGCCCCCAAATGGCTTTGGAGGTCAGAGGGTGTTGGAGACACGAGGGGCTTCTCCACGAGCAAGTGTGCCTTGGGGGGGAGAGCACCCTGGGGATTCTGCATGGGTGGGCACGTGCTGTAGGAATTCCAGGGGTGCAAGGCGATGGATGGCAGCTGTAAACTTGAGCAAGTGCTGCTTCCAGGATACATGGGTGGCAAGGTGCAGTAGGACAGGCTGGACGGGTAGGCCGGCTGCAGGACCAGAGTGGGCTCCTGTTGCGCAAACCGTGTGGGAGACAGGGTGCCTTTCGGGGAGCAGGGAGCCTGCACTCCTGGCAAAGGAGGGTTGGTATAGCTTCCAGGATATGGCACTCCCACCCCATAGCCTGTCTGGAAAGTGGCAGTAGGGCTGGTGGGAGACTTAGGGGAGACAAAGGGCACTCGGGACACATCCAGGTGCTGGCTCTGACCTACCACCAGAGGGGACAGTTTCAGTGAGTTGGACACTCCAGATTGTCCTGTCCTTTCCTGAGGCACCCAAATGTCTTCCCCCAGCACAGCATCCCAATGGTAAGGGGGTGGCCGTTTCATAGCCACAGTGGCTTCAGGCAGCACAGGGTGCCTCAGGGGCTTCTCCACTGGTGAGTGCTGGGCTAGCACCTCGTCCTCAGTGAAGGCTGAGTTGACATAGTCAGTGCGCTCGCGGGTGCCATCGGGTGGGCTCAGGAGGCTGTAGGACGACTGGGACTGTGAAGCCAGCGGGGAGGTGCCGGCTGTGTGTGCAGCCCCTGCGCCTGGCTCAGGCCGCCCCACTGCACCCCCACCACTGCACTGGCTACAGGTGTAGAGGGTGGCCTGGGATCGCACGGGGAACTGCGCTGTGCCCTTGGGTTTGGCCAGGTGCTGTAAGGGTGGGTGCTGTGGCAAGGCCCGTGGGGGCTCAGCTGGAGCTGCAGCCTTCAGCACAACATCACGATTATTCCTGCGCAGCGTGGCATGGATGAGGCTGCTATCCAGCCGCTGTGCTGCCACTCGGCCCGGGACAAGCGGGCCAGCCAAGTCAGGATACGGGGGTGGGTCTCCAGCGGGGATGGAGTAACGCGGGACCGTCAGACGGTTCAGGGTGGCACTGGTGCAGGGCTGGGGCACCTTCTTCTCTGTGGCGGTGAGCCTCAAGGTGGCTGAGCTGCCAGGTCCAGGGAGTGTGTAGGTATTCTTCGAGCACAGCATCCGTGTGCGGGGCCGGCATACCTCCTCCACATTGCCACTGCTGTCGAAGGTGGTGATCCTCTCGTAGCCCAAGGGCGGCTGGTAATGCACCGCGGTGGGGTACAGTGAGAAGTCGCCCTTCTTTAAGCAAACGTCCACAGGGGGCTGCGGGGGTGGTGGCGCTGCAGTGGTGGGGGCAGCAGGGATGGTTCCTGGGTAGGGAGGTGGGGGGTTCAACTTGGCCACCTGGATCTCCTGGGGAGCACCGAATACCACGGCATCCCCCTCGGCAGTCAGCTGCGTGGGCCGCAGCATCTTGGCTGGCTTCTGCAGGTGCTCATGCTCACGGTCTCCCAGCTCCACCACTGACAGCGAAACTGCCCCCTGCATGGGTGGCGGCAGGGACAGCTGCGGGGTGCTTGGCACCATTCGGCCCATCTCCACTCCACCAAAGATCACCTGTCCAGGGCTAGAGTAGCGGTTGGAGACTGGGTACTGGCTGGCATTCTCACTCGTGTGCTCAGCTGCACCCACGGTGGTGGTCTGATTGGTCAGGACGTCCAGCTGCACGTTTTGATTGGCCAGCAAGGACTGAACCAGGCCGATGCTCTGCGTGGGGGACATAGCCTGTGCGGAGCTGTGGATGGGTGCGATAGGGATGTTCACGGTACAGGGTGGGTTGTTCTCAGGCACGCCAGATGCTCCTGTCACTGGAAGTGAGAAAAACAAGCTGCTTAAAAAGTTGTGCCATGAAACTGGGTCTGAATAAGAAATACCTCTCAACTCATCCAGTCTTTTGCATATAAAGTAAAATTGCTATAGATGGAGATGTCTGCTTGGGGAGAGTTGGACGGTTTACACAAGTTACAGAAGGCTTCTCTGGTGTTTCTAGAAGGGCATCCAGGCAATTGGTGGGTCTTGCAGGGCACCCCGCCAGCTGCCCCTTAACCAGGGGCATTCATTGTCAGGGCTTTCCAATGAACACACTTGAGCCTTCTCATTTTGGTACCATGTGCTCAAACATGTGCTGTGGCAGACACTTAATTGTTTAAAGACGGTTTTTACTCATGATATCCTGAGTAGGTTTATCCACGGTAATGTTGGTCACTGTGGGATGTGACTGCAGCAGACTGCATACTTGTATCTAATAATCCTATGTAAATTAAGTTCCTATAAATAGAACCAAGTCAAATGGAGTGAAGAAACCAATGAAAAGGATCCTTAGGAAATCTGCAGATTAGGGGAAAGCTTATTTCCTAATTTATCTGTTTTCAGCATTGCGAACAGTATGTAAGGTGGAGCCACACTAAATGAAAGCCTGTGAACACATTTTGTCTGCATGTGGCGGGACCTTAGCACACACTTGAACAATGACCTGCACACACTGGCAAGTGCTCAGCCCCTATTCTGTGCTGCCCTAAGTGCCCATCGAGCAACTTGCTCACCTGGGCCTGAGTACTGTGTGGCGAGTACTGAGAAGAAAATAGGAATTAACAGGGTAATTATAAAGACTGAATGACCTTTCACCAGAACTACAGAATGAGGCCACCTGGTTCATCAAAAGCTGAGCCCACCCTTGCTGCCTGTAAGAGATGCCCCCCTGTGCCCCGGTGCACTAGTGAGGTGTACTCCCACCTGGCTGCATGAGTCTGGGCCCCGTCTCAAGTTTTCTACTGTCCCTGTTCAGACCCCTCTTCCCGACCTTCTCTTCCTGGGAGGGCAGGCATCGTCCCTGCTATAGGACAGTCTCTTTGCTGTATTGCCAGCATTAAGTGTAAGTCCTGGGACAAAGTGTAGCCTCCTCTCCCTGGGACCACAGGCAGGAATGACAGCGGAAGGCACGGCAGAGCATTAGAGAGCAGGGAGGGTGTGCAGGGGACCATGTAAGAGAGACCTCCACATTCAAGATGCTGAAGCAGCAGGGGACCAGCAATAAAGCTCAGGTGGGCAGGGTTCCGCCCCACTGCAGGTTTGTGTGGTTGCAAACTTCTCGCAGGACAGATCATTTAACAGGTAAAAACCTGGGCTGAGAAAAGGTAAGCCACTTCCCCAAGCTCAGAGCCTAAATGGGGTGCATGTCCCTCCCTGTCCCATTGCAAGACCACAGGTCCTCAGACAAAGGAGGCTCCTCTGGCTCAGAAGCCAGAGCTTCTCAGAACCTTGCCTGGGTGGGAGCTGAGGAGTCTCTCCAGTATTTATAACACTGAAGGTGGACTTCCTCGAGAATAGTTATGGACAGGTACCTGGCAGACTAATTACAAATTCTAATCTATTAATCACAATAGATTAGAATCAACTACAAATCACTACAGATATTTGAAAATTTTGTAGCCTGGGATTTTAAAAACGTGTGCCAGATTTTACCTTTAACTCAGACCAGGCTTCCATACACTAAGGCACATACTTCACGCTGGGAAGTATTTACATGTACAGGTTTTTAGCCTGAAGACACTGGGCTCTGTGGGCACCACGGGATCATTCAAGTGATGAGGGCTAGCCCGGGGCTGACAGGGCCGGGGTGTGGTTCTGATGTGATCTAGTCCCAACAGCCCCGACCTCTCGGGGCCTGTGCAGGGCTAGGAGGGCTGCCGTGTGGGCGGAACAGATGGTGCAAGCGCTCTGTGAACGTGAGGCACGCGGCCACTTAGTCTTCCCCCAATGACTGATGGCACATGACCTTTCTCCGGTGTCATGTGCCACATCCAGCAACCTCACTGAGAAGTCACACCTTCCCCAAACAGAGGCAGCAGGCACAGGCTGGCATACTGTAACCCCACTGGAGGTCGTCCAGGAGATGAGACCGCCACCCGCTGATCTGAGAGCTGGGTCCAGGCAACTACAGGCTCCCCACCCCTGCCCCCAGAACGTGCATTCTCTTTGCCCTTCCCACGCCTAGAAGCTACTCTAAGGATACAGCCTTGAGATAGCAATGTGGCTTTGAGACTATCTGGATGGTGTATGTGACTGATCCCAGTTAGGGCCTCCACGCAAACTTGCAAGGTTATGGCAGTGGGTGTGGAAACCCCCCAGCCTTACGGCCGCCCTAATAAGCCCTGTCGGCTCCTTGCTCACTGCGGCTGCCACCTATCCGTCGGGAGGAGCCCGACTCTTTGGTCTCTCCCCGCCATTTTCGGATTTCTCTTGGGAAGCTCCCAAAGGGGCTGTGAAGCAACAACCACTCTGTCCCCTGTCACAACCCACTAAGAGAAGGCTCATGACAAACCAGGTAACACGTGTGAACACACCTGGTAAGTCGTCTTCATCTTCGCTGAACACATTCGGGTTGAAAACAGGTAAGTTCACGTAGTCCATGGAAACCTTCCGAACCTCTGGGAGATAAATGGTCATCTGCCGTGGCTGTAGGTGCAGGAGGCTGGTTTTGTAGATCACTGGCAGGAGGAGGAGGGACAGTCAGCAGAGATGGGAGGACGAGAGCCAAGGAGTCACCAGGATCCCAGCGGGAGAAAGGGGCGGCAGATTCCCGGCTTCGAGAGCACGGGCGTGCGCAGGCCGAGCAGGGCTGGGGGACACTCTCCACCTCTCCCTGGGCATGCCCGGCACCCCCAGCCACAGTCTGGGTTCAGGGACACCAAATTCTCGGTCTAGCCCAGCCACTTGGCCAATGATTTGTCTGTTGAACCACACATTCAAAATATCAAAACACCTACAAATTCTTTCTTCTAATGAGCTAAGACATGACAGATATGTTTTTTAAAAAACCCTCATTTGTAAATCAGAAGGATCATCTAGTGAAAACAGTTGTGATAACCAGACTGCCAAGCTCAGGGCCATCTGGGGCCATCAAGGAGCTGATGGAGAGCAACTACAAGCTAAGGGGTGACATGGATCGGGCAGGAACACTGCCTTTATTCAGGACTGGATTCTTAATGCCTTCAATTTCAATTTCATAATCAGTATAGAGATTTATCAGAAACTTCCACATGATCCTTTAAACACTTAGATTCACTTAAATAACAGGGATATTTAAGAAAAAAAACCCCAGATTGCAACTACAATATTTATAGGAGACAAACTAAGTTAACAGATGATGAATGTGAATTTCAGTGTCACAGTAGGTTAAAATCAGGATGAGGTGTCTCAGTTTCTACGTTCAGTGCGCGTTCCTGTGAGCCGTGTAGCATCCTTCTCGTTGTTGCTGCCAGTTTGACTGCTCTGTTGAGCTAAGCCCAGTTCTCTCTCCAGAGCTGCTGCCCCTGAAGGCCAGCGGCCCATGGCCAGCACTCCCACTGCACAGCGGGCCTTCCTTTTTGAAGTCCTGTGTGAGGCTGGTGCTTGGGCTGGCGTGCGCTGAGACAGATGCCTCTCTGGACTAGTTAGTGGTCATCAGAAGTATTGCTCACGCGCTCTCTTCTATTGCCATAGAAGAGAGTGTGAATTTTGGTTTTAAAATTCTGGATGACTTCATATAGCTTAAGAGCTAATATTAAAATGCTATTCTTTGTCATTCACATTAACAAACAGATAAAATTTAAAAAATCTCAGGAGGACCCTGCCCAGTGCAGCTCAGCTGGTCAGAGCATCAGCCCTTAAACTGAAAGGCTGCGGGTTCGATTCCAGTCAGGGCACGTGCCTTAGTTGCAGGTTCAGCCCCTGGTTGGGGTGCATACAAGGTGGGGGTCAACTAATTGATGTTTCTCTCTCACATCAATGTTTCTGTATCTCCCTCCTTTCTCTCTAAAAAGCGATGAAAAAAATGTCCTCAGGTGAGGATAAAAAAAAAAATCTCAGGAGGAATTAAAAAAATAACATTGGTTGTTTCCAGGGTGAAAAAAGTAGGTGGCTGTAAGAACGAGAGAAATTTCACTGTTCTATTCTAAATCATTTGAGTTCATTCCATGTTTTTAAAATTAATAAATACAATGGATTAAAAATGAAAAAATTACATGGTTAATTATTTTAATTGCAGGAAACAAATTATCCAGTATGTGAATAGCACTTACTTTTTAAATCCACTAGAGTGTCAAAGATTATTTAATAGGGTGCCATATGTAAAGACTTAATCTCCTTTCTTCAGTAGAATCAAGTGGAAGCTCTCAGCTTGACAAATGAACAGCCATAGCCCGAATGCTGCCTAAAGAGGTCAGCGATCCGGACGGGGACTCCACCGCAGCCCCACTGACAGCTCTGGTCTCGGGCACTCAGATTCCTCATGTGGGAGCAGCACGGGCCTCAGAAGCACCGACAAGCCCCCCCATCTGAAGGCCCTTGTTGATGTACTTGTGGATCTACCGAGCATCCAAGGAAAAGGGCAGAATGAAGAGACCCATCAAATCAGTCCTGACCTCCATTCCTTCCTTCAGCGTTTGCCAGGGCAGACGGCTCAAGTTCTCAGCGCACTGTTGTGGGTGACCGTGCCCCGTGTACCGCGATGGTAGAGTCACTGTACACATCAGGGGGGTGCTGCTGAGTGACTGAGGAGCAGCCCTTGAGTTCATCAGAGAGTCTGCAGGTGTTTGAAAATATTCTAAGAGTTGTCTGCATTATGTACAGGGACAGTCTACTGTTATGTCCTGGGTCAGTTTTATGTTTTACTTTTATTCTCCTTTTCTGTTAGCTGAGAAACCTCAAAACAGAGGATCCAAATGCAGCACTAACAAGTCCTGAAGAGGAAGATGCAGCCATGGGTCTTTTTAACATCTGATCTGCAAGAATAATTTATTTTAAAGGATCGAAGAGTGTCTGAAACAACTCTTAGAGGCAGATTCAGAATTTTTTAAAAAATCATTTCTAGTAGGTTACACAGTGCATTCCAGACAGGGCCACCAGCCACAGGCAGACCTTGCCTGGCTAAGCTGGCTTTCCAGGGACATGTGTGCATATTAAATTATCAGGGAGTCTAGCAAGGTGGGGGCACAACACAGCTCCTGGGCCCACAGGATGTGCCCGTCAGGAGGAAGATGCATTGAAAAGGGCCTCCTGCCATTCCACACCGCCCTGTCTCCAAGCGACCACGACCAGTTGGTGCTGCTCGCGTCCCAGCCACCCGGAGCGTGGATGGGAACTCAGACCCTGGGTTCCAGCCTGGCTTCAGACCCCCTTGCTTCTGTCTTCCTCACTGGCCCACACTTTCATGGACAGGACACTTATTTGGAACTTAGAAATGACATCTATAAAGATTTACCACTAAGCCATGCTCACAGTCAGCCAGGATCTTCTTATAGTCTAATGCTTTCATCAGGAATTTCTTTTAACTCAAGAACCTAAGGACACTGGTACCAAAATCTGCTGACAGTGAAAGGCCAGAAACCTCCAAGAACTTTGATAGAGATTTTGGCTATTTCTGTCATTTTTTTATAAGTTGGGGATGATATTTTTTAAAAAATGAAAGTACCACTGGCAAAAAAAAAAACAAAACAACTTGAGTGATCATTTTACTTTTTGCTGAAGTCACAGCGGCTACAGTCAAAGTTTGGAGGAAAGATGCATGCTAATTTTTTATGTCAATGAGCTCATTTTCTACTTTAGGCCCTCAAAGGTTGAAACTGTTTTTCTCAGTCTGAGTTCCAACTGGGACAGCAGACAAAGAACTGGATGTGATCTCACCTGCACCAAGGTTGGTCGGCAGGAAAGGAGCCAAGCCCACGATCTTAAATTTGGTTCCCCAGATATTAGACGTAACCTGAGCAAGATAGTTGTGCTGTGGGAGGAAAAAAGGAAAGAAACATCACTATTTCCATATTTCCTATTCAGTAAACACTCATTGCTTACAAAGCCACAGGTGTTCACAGGTGGAAATGCACCCCCTACTTCATTCCGTCTCCCTGAACACCAGAAGCAAACTGTAGCATGTCAGGCACCGGCATTTCAATGGAGGCTCACCAAGCTGTGCTTCTCAGTCTGGGAGTGCGAAGCAGACGTGTCTCAGTGTGTCTGCGTGTGTGTCAGTTCAAAAGGCCATAATGTGTTTGGGCTCCTTTACCTCCGCCTCTCCGTTCCCATAATCACTGGACTGGAGAGGGAATCTGGCTCTGAGTTCATTTTTATCCTTGATGTTTCTCCTGGAAACATCAGCTACATTGACACCACCCTGTCAAACAGACACCACTTGTCTGTTTTCTCAGTCAATGAAGTCAAAAGAATTTAAACAGCTGTCACTGTGCCCAGCCATGCCTGCACGTGTGTGTGCAAGAGCAATCAGGGAGCTGAATACAACACAGCTCCTCCCCAAAGCCCCTGTGCCCTAATGGCGAAGATAAGGCGGGTAATTGCTTGCATACAAGGAAGTCACTGAGAAACAGGAGGCTTTGGAGTCCCTGTGGCTGAGCCGGGGAAAGAAGCCTTCCCTGAGGAGGAGGTGAAGTTAGGACTGGAAGCGCGGAGGCTTCCAGTGACTCAGGCAGAGCAAAGGCACAAAGCCAGAAAGAGGCAGGGGTGGCTCTGCCACGTGGCGGTGAGAGGCGAGACGTCCGAGACTGCAAGCATGTCCGTGGGGTGTGGAGCAGAGGCAGCGGGCCTGACTGGAGGCAGGGGTGGTGAGGAGGACAAGTAGGCTCAAGTTATCTGCACCAGTGTCTGGAGCCTCGGGGACAGGCACAGAGGCGGGTAGCAAGGGTCCGGCCACCCACAAGCACGCACTGGGGAGGGGAAGAAGCACGGTGGCGCATCAGTGTGCATGTACAACCCAGAACCCAGACGCTACCTGAGTGATGTCCTCGAAGGGAAACTCTCTTCGTGTCAGGCTCGGTGAGCTCACAGAGGGCTTCCGAATGGGCAACCGTGGGGACCTGGACATCTCCTGAGCAGCCCGGGACAGCTTGGGAGACTTCCGAGCCTCGATGTTGATCCTGCGGAGACGAGGCAGGAGGGTCAGGCACCCAAAGCAGGGAAGGCACTCCTGGCACACCCTTCATCTGCCAGTCACCACACATGGGTGTCACATTCTTAGGAGCCAGGCCCCTCAATCTAACCAAGTCCCTCCTGCCTGTTTCTGCTAAATGAACAGGAAAAAAGGAGGACAGAATTGTATACAGAATAACACTTTTAAAATACATACAGTGAGATCAGATCAAGTGATTCATTTGTATGGAACCTCAGAGAATTAACTCTCTTTCACTTTTTACTGACTTGTAATAAGGAAATGGCAGGTGAGAAGAGTCATTTCTAACCTTATGGCCACAATGATTTTATAAGAGAGTGTTATAAAAATGAATACAGTAAGGCTGATGACATTCTACGAAAGAAAAGTATTAAGCCTCACATATACTGTTGGGCCTGACAAGACACCTCGCAGGCCAATGGGAGAGGAGGCCAGGGGACTGAGCTGGTTAAAGCTCTGTGTGAGGAGAGTAAACCGCCTGCTGCATGTGGGGGATTCAATGCAGGGAAGGACAGAAGGAAGGAGGACTAATTATGGGGACAGCAACATCCAGAAACCTCAAAAGGGTATAAGCGGTGAAGAATTTAGTTGCTTAATGTGTTATATATCCTCACTGCTTAAGTACTGATAATAGGAAAAGGTGAAACACTACAGAGTGTAGGAACATTCACAATTTTATTTGCAATTTTAACAAACTTAGAACAAACATGAAAAAGTAAATTAATTAGATCACTGTAGCAACTGGATAGCTATATGGGAATGAATGAACATTTACCTCTAACTCCCATTATACACAAACATTAACGTGAGATCTAAGTATGAGAGCTGAAACTATAAAGCTTCTAGAATGCCTCATGACCTCACAGTAGACATAGATTTCGTAAATAAGGCACAAAAAGCACTACCCATAACAGAAGAAATTCATATGTTTTAGACTAAATGGCAGTATATGCCTGACAAAGAAGTCACAGCTAGAATAAAGAACCTTACAACTCAATACAGGCAAAACTACTCTATAAAAAATGAGCCAAAGACTCCAACAGACACTTCACAAAAGAAGATGCCCAAATGGCCAATAAAGATATAAAAAGCTTCTTGGAATCACCAATCACTGGAGATATTAGGGTTAAACCACAACGAGACATCACTGTACACCCATTAGAACGGGTAACACTACTTTTTAGAAGTGACCACTACAGGGCAGTGTGACAGCAGCTGGCATTCTCACGCACTGCTAGTGGGATCCACAAGCACTTGGCACAAGCACTGTTGCACAGACACTTGGGAGCACTGTTTGGCAGTTCCCACTGAAGGTAAGTATGCACCCACCCCATGCCTTCCGGCTTCCCCTTCTAAGTACATGTCCAAGATGAACGTGTGCACATGCCCACAAAAAGACGTGTATAAGGAAGGTCACAATGGTTTCATTCACCACAACCCAAAACTGAAAACCACCGAATATCCATGAATTGGAAATAACATAAACAAACTGTAGTATATTCACTACGGCGGAATTTTATAGCACAAAAAAGAGAAAATTACTGATAGACACAACAGCATGAGTAAACCTCAAAAATCATTATACTGAGAAAAAAAGAGTACATATTGTTTGGCTCCATTTATGTGAAAATCAAGAGGAAGCCAAACTAATCTATGATGACAGAAGTTAGAACAGTGATTAATCTAGAGAGCAGGTATCAGGAGTTCTGGCCAAGATGGAGGTGTAGGTAGATACACTTCACTTCTTCACAAAACCAAAAGAAGGAAAACAACCAATTTAAAAACAAAAAATAACCAGAATTTCCAGAAAACTGAACTGTATGGAAGTCTGACAACCAAGAAGTTAAAGACGAAACATTCAACTAGACTGCCTAGACTGCGCCACAACACAGCGATGTGGGTTGCCCCGCCTCTTACAACATAACAGGTGCGCCAAGCAATGAAATATGCCCTCAATGAAAGAACAGATCAAAACTCCAGAAAAAGAACTAAGTGATGAGGAGAAAGACAACCTATCAGATGCAGGGTTCAAAACATTGGTAATCAGGATGCTCACAGAATTGGTTGAGTGTGGTCACAAAATAAAGGAAGAAACGAAGGCTATACAAAGTGAACTATAGAAAAATATACAAGGAACGAACAGTGAAGACAAGGAAACTGGGACCCAAATCATTGATTTGGACCAGAAGGGAGAAATAAACATCCAACCAGAACAGAATAAAGAAAAAAGAATTCAAAAAATGAAGAGAGGCTGAGCAACCTATGAGACAATTTTAAATGTTCCAACATCTGAATCACAGAGCTGCTAGAAGAAGAGGAAGAGCAAGAAACTGAAAATTTATTGGAACATCATAATTAAGTTACCCAAGACTGAATATAGGAGAGAATTTTAAAAGCAGCAAGAGAAAAGGAAAGAGTTGCCTGCAAAGGAGTTCCCATAGGACTGTCAGCTGATTTCTCAAAAGAAACCTTGCAGGCAAGAAGGGGCTGGAAAGAAATATTTAAAGTCATGAAAGGCAAGGACCTACATCCAAGATGACTCTCTCCAGCAAAGCCTTCATTTAGAATGGGAGGGCAGATAAAGTGATACCCAGATAAGGTCAAGATAGTCATTACCAAGCCCTTATTATATGAAATATTAAAGGGACTTATCTAAGATACAGAAGACAATAAAAAACTATGAACAGTAAAATGACAACAAACTCACAACTATCAACAACTGAACCTAAAAACAAAAAAACAACTAAGCAACTAAAACAAGTATGGAATCACAGAAATGGAGATCACATGGAGGGTTATCACTAGGGAGGGGGAGGGGGGAATGAAGGAAAAAGGTACAGGGAATAACAAGCATAATTGGTAGGCACAAAACAGACAGGGGGAAGTTAAGAATAGTACAAAAAACGAAAAGCCAAAGAACTTATATGTATGGCCCAGGGACATGAACTAAGGTGGGGGGGGGGTGGGAAATGGTGGAGGAAGGGGGAGTGCAGGGCAGAGGGGAATAAGGGGGAGAAAAAATGGGACAACTGTAATAGCATAATCAATCAAATATACTTAAAAAATAGGGACCAGGTACCAGGTGGGAGGAGCACAGGAACTGTCTGGGATGATAGAATGTTGATTTCAACTGGATGGTGAATACACTGCCTTACCGAATGAGTTATGCATTTATAATCTGGACAGCTAGGTACCTGTATGCCAGCTGTACTTTTGCCTTGCACAGCATCACAGAATTTAGAGCTAGAAGGGGTCTTAGTGAAGATCTGGTCTACCATGGGCTTCTACAGACAAGGACACTGGTCTGCTTCAGGCTTTGTCCATTCACACAGCCCATGGGGGCGCGGAGCCAGGATGATGAGAAAGGCAATGCTTCTCCTCTGTGACACCACAGCCCTTCAAGCTCTTCACCATTCTTTAAAATAAACCTTTAGGGGGGCCTGAAGTTTTCTTTGGTTTACTATTTTTTTGCCCAATTACAGCATTAATTGGCATTGAATTTGGTGTCCTCTCCAACACATTACTTATACCGTTAAAACCTTTTTCTAATTTTTCTCAAACTGGATGAAAAAATAAGTAAGCCAGGGAGCTCTGGCCACTCCATGCCACCCACCATCAGAGCTGACCCTAGGGAAGTCCTGGGGTTTAGCAAACTTCCTACTGGGTGTCTTTTCCTGTCCCGAGAACTGAGAAAGGAGTCATAACCCCTGCAGGCCGACCTTCCAGATGAAAGGCATGGATGAGGTCTCGTGTTCTCCTGGTGTCGGTTTCAAGAGGATTCTGCTGCACACACAACACAGGTACACCTCCAGGGACACAAAAAAGAGGCAATACCCCGAGAAGCAAGATTACCGTGGGAGTTTGGGTGACTTGCTTGCTTGGGAGATTTTGGGAGATTTCTTGGCAGCCCAGTCATCGCTCAGTTCAATATCGCTGGAGTCCGAGCAGTTGCAGCTGTCGACCACGGTAGACATCAGGCTGTTCCCATAGAGTTCATCTGGTAAGACACCAACCAGCAAGTTTAAGGGAAGTGACATTAGACCCTAACAATGACCATTACTAGAAACTACATGGCAGAATGACTCTACAGGCCATCATTTCAAGTCTAGAAAGTGAAATAGAAAGGGGTAAAGCATTGTTTTCCTTTGACATTTTTATGCTATTATTACATTCTCTAGGCAAAAGTAGGCAATTAGTTCTACACTTATCAAAATGGGCATGGTATTTTAATGCCCTGAAATGTACAAAATAGGCACTTTACTGTGCCAACAGCTGAAACCAAAACAGCTTCACAGTCATCTTCATGACACACCCAGCGTCACAGGCTTGCGGGCCACCCAGAACCCAAGCGAGGGCTTACTGAATCACTGACTGCTCAAAGGATGTGCTTCTGAGCTGGGACCTGGGAAGGCCGTTGCTGGCTCTGGGCCTGCTCTAGACCAGAGACCTGCCAGAACCACTTACGTCTGTCTTGCAGTACAGTCTGCTGAGTTGCCCCATCATGGGCCTGCTGTCCCACGATGGAGCTGCCTGTAGTAGCTAAAGGGAAGTTCTGCGTGGTAGGACTCCCAGGGCAGCCTGGGTTCTGCTGAGAGTGCCTGTATAGGAGATGCTCAAGCCAACTCTGTGAACTGGACATCAGACAGAGGATGAGGGGCCCCACAGCAGAAGGCAATATACACGAAAGTGGAGCCATCACAAAGCTGCTAAGCAGGTGAGGTTCATGCCTGACAGCCTCTTCGAAATCCCTTCTCCTTTGCTCCCTTCCTTCCTCACACCCACTCACATCTCTTCACCACCCAAATCCCTGCTCCGTCCTGCCCCCAGGTCTGCCCTCACTGAGAGCACCTCATTCTTCAAAAATCACTGTTTTGCTGACTAATGCCTCATTCCCTCAAGGCTCCAAGAACCTTACGCACGCAATAAAAAAAGACAAATCATTAGATCACAGTGAAATAATTTATAGGGGACTGAGTTTACTGGTCAAAAGGTCTGATTGCATTTGAAAGGATGAGTTTGTTAATCCAAACTGATCTCTACATTTCTGAACACAGGGAGGTGACATCTGTGCACAGGGGCCTCTCTGAGGCCACTGGAGGCAGGGCAGAGCAGCCTGGCACGAGGCGTGGGAGAGGCTGGCTGAAGCCCAGTCAGTGGGGGGGTACCACAGCAGCCTTGTTAAACCATTCACTGACTCAGAACACACAAGTCTTGGCTCCAGCAAGTGACAGTGGTGTGCCTCTGAGTTTGTTCAGATAAAAGGCTGCATTCACATGCCCTGAGCAGTGCTTACATTAGTTAATTTAGGAATCACTGGATCCAAGGAAGCTTGGCTACAATTCAAACATATGATAAGGCCACAGAATACTTCCATATGTCCGAAAGCACAGAGACAGTTTACTGACTTGAGGACATTAAGTAGGGCATCGTCCACTTGCACTCTGACCTTTTTGCTAATGCCACAAATGCTATATGCCATACCACTGCTGTTTTTCCATTACTCATGCTGTAGACTCTTCGGGCTGCTATCATGTATTGGATAACTTATAAACAACAAAACTTATCTCACACAGTTCTGGAGGCTGGAAGTCTGAGATTAGGACACCAGCGAGGTCGGATTCTAGTCGCGGCCCTCTCTGGGTTGCAGACTGCTGACTTCTTGCTGTGTCCTCACACAGCAGAAGAGGCTGCCATCTTTGTGAAGCCACTTTTGTAAGGCACTAGTGTCATGATCTAGTAACCGACCTCTGCATACGGTCACATTGGGCATTGGAATTTCCATATATGAACGAGAATGGGGGGAGGACAAAAGCACTCACCACTAATTTCTGGTCTGTCTCTCCAACTAGTGTGTGAACTCTCCCTCCAGGGGAAGGAGCTGCTTGTCTTGCCTTCCGCTGTGACCACAGAGATGAAAACAACTCCAGGGACTCGATAAGTACTTCCCGACAGAAAAGTGCCATCTGCGCCCTGCTGCCTGGCTGCATCCCGCACCACCTACAGAATTCTGGGGGAGCGGGGTGGGCGCTGGTGACTGCTACTGCTCCCAGGGGTCCCCACGAGCAGGTGAGGCTGGGGACCACTCGTCTAGGATCCCGGTGAGGACCTCCCCACAGAATGGACTTACAGCAGGTACATGAGGAAAGACAGTTGCTCTCTGCATACGGGCCCTGAGCCCTGCTTGTCTGCCACCTGTCACCAACACGGTCAGAAATTCGGTGTGCTGCAGCAGGGCCACAGGCTGGGAGGCCAGGTCTGGCACCCAAATGTACCTCTTGGTTCTACAGACGCAATGCCATCAACTTATTATGGCAATTCTGGAACAAACGTCCAAGTTGGACAAAAATGTAAGTTGGCACTGCTGTTTGAGAACCCAAGTTTGCATTACACTGTGTGGGGCTTCACACCCCAATTTTGCCAATTTTCAAGAATATGCATCTTTCATTTGGGTTGGATTGAAGGCTTTCCTAAATATGTGACCTGAATCAGATCTATTATTAGAATTTTTAAAAAGTCTTTAAACACAGTGTTAACTACTTTGAAATGCTTGAAGTTCTGTCCCGTAACAAAACATGACACGCTGGGTGGCCTAAACAATGGTGTGGGAGGCTGGTGCCCGAGAGCCAGGCGCCGGCACGGTCAGGTCCTGGGGAGGGCTCTCCCCGCTTGCACACAGCAGCCTGCACACTGTGCTTCCACGTGTTCTTCCTCAGTGTGCAGCTGCGTACAGAGATTTCTCCTTTTCTTGCAAGGCCACCAATCCTACTGCATGGGGACCCCATGCTTATTACGGCTTTGTTTAATCTGAATTACCCCCCTAAAAGCCGTAACTCCAAAAATAACCACATTGAGGGTCAGAACTTCAACATATGAAACTGGGAGGACACAATTCTGTTCACAGCATATGCCCCTACTTCCCTCTCAAATTCAACACTTCTAACAGCCTTCCTTCATCTCCTCCTATGTGGATAGATGAGAATTTTCCAAATCTTCAAGTTCTAGTTCCTTTTCTTAACAATTCCTTCTTCAATATGTCTCTTTCCTTTCTCATTTTACTATAAGCAGCCAGGAGGAACCAAGCTACTCTTTCAGAACTACTTAGAAATCTCCTCAGTTAAAAACCAAGTTTCACTGGCGTGTAAGTTTTACTTTCTGCAAAACCCCAGAACATGGCTCAGTCACGTTCTCTGCTACTGGGATTGTCCCTTTCCTCCAGTCTCCAGTAACGAGTTTCTCCTTTCTGTCTCGGACTTCACCAGAAGCTTCCCTAGCACCAATATTCCAGCATGTACCAGAAAACCCTTCATTCCAGCCTCCTTTACCCACGACCCAGCTCCAAAGCTGCTATCACATTTTCGGGTATTTGCTACAGTAGCACCCTACTTCTGAATACGAAAATCTAACAGTTGGGGTTCCCAGAGAAACAGAACCAATAGGAGATAAATACTACACCCATATACACAGACACACAGACACACAGACAGCGAGAGAATGTGGAAATGGCTCACGAGATGATGGAGGCTGAGCAGGGGCCAGCAAGGCGGGGCTCCAGGCTCACAAACATACATCTCGCTGCTCTGAGCTCACACGGCCTTTCTGTGATGTGTGCGTGTGGAGAGAGGGGGATCTCTCCGGCTTCCTTTTCTTGTAAGGCCACCAACCCTACTGGATGAGTGCCCCACCCTTATAACCTCCTTTAACCTTAATTACCCCCTAAAAATCCTATCTCCAAATATAGTCACACTGGGTTAGGGATTCAACCTGTGATTCTGGGGTGAGGTGTGGGAAGGTGGGATGGAGCATAGTTGAGTCCATGGCAAGCTCTGATGAAAGATTCCTTTTGAAAATTTGTGGATTTTGCCAAAAAAATTTATTGGGTCTCAGGTTACCTATTATAAAAATACACACTAGTGGTTTTGAGGAACACAATTGTTAAGTTGCTTGGAGGATACTGACAACAGTGGAACTCAAACACACTAGAGCACATGTCACCTGGGCACCCACTGAGTCACAGACTGCTAGGCCCCACCCCAGCCCTGCTGAATGGAGGGACACAGGAGCAGGCCTAGAGCATCCCAGGTGATCTGCAGGGAGGTGGGGGAATAAGACGTAGAAGCCTGACTTCATGGGCTTCTCCCGATGAGAAATTCCTGGCTTCTGAGCGTCTGGAATCTTATCCTCCCCTGAACCAGTTTCCATATACCATTCAGTTGGCAATTAGTCATATTCTGCCTTGTGACATGTCTTCTATTTTTGTCCTGAGGTATTTAAATCTTGACTTTTTAAATTAAATTTCCTAAGTGTTAAGCTGTCCTATCACCCAGAGGGGATTATAACTGCTTGAGAGCAGACACCTGGCATTTCTTCATGACAGACTCAAGGACCCTGTACAAACCAGCACTGAATACGTATTGTTGATTTACTCTGCTTTACACCATTTCCACTCATTTACCTACAAAAATAAAACACCTCCCCCCAAGGACTGTGAGCAATCAAGGCAGCATGAGTTTGCAGTGAGCTGAGAGAGGGGACACTGAGGAGGTGGTTATGGGGCGGTGGCCAGGCCAGGCCCCCGCCCTGGCTTCAGTGCCCTCCAGCCACACCTGCCTGCCTCTCCTGCCCTGTTTTTAGTGGGACATTTGCCCCCATGGGGACCAAAGCACGCTCTTCACATTGGTTTCCTTCAACACTTGATGTGAGAGGTTTCAGGAAATGGTGTACATGGGAGGGACCTCCGGGACAATGACACTGGATGAGAAGATGAGATGCACACTGGGCTTCATTACCTTTCTCACACCCTTTCCCTCCTTTGGCCACTCCCAACCATCAACCCTCCTTCAGTTGCCTCTAATCATCAGTGACTCCCCCCATCCCCCGTCCCCCCAAACCATGCTTTCCTTCTGATTTCACAACCACTGCCCTCCTGGGGTTCTCACTTTGCTTCCTTCCTTCTGACTCTCCTCTCCCCGCTTCTCCACCTGCCTCCCTACCAGCCCTCATTTCTTCTACTCAGCCTCCCTGTTCTTGGTGCAAGTTCATCACATGACTCAATTTGAAAAATCCAATTAAATACTGGAGTGGGCAAGTGAGGCCACGGCACTGCAACACTAGGATAACTCTGCTCATAACACACGTCACGGTGCTTTCAGAGACAAAATGAGGGGCCCGGGCCAGTCTACTGGGAAGGAGAATGAATGGGAGTTGAGGTGTGGGAAGGACCAGTATGAAACTAATGCAAACAGACCTAATTTACCTCATGTTATTTCAAGGTCAGGCCCTTGCCAGGCACTGGGTTCAGAGAGATGACTCGGTTTCCTCCCTCCAGGACCTCAGGATTTGGGGGCAGATAGAGCCCCAGAAAAACTATTGTGTGCTTCCCAGGATCCCAGCAGCTCAGTTGGCAGGTGACAGGCACAGAAGACAATGCCATTCAGCCTGCTGCTGGGGCTGGGCAAAATTTTACAGGGGGAAGCGAAATGTCTGAACTGGCAGGTACTGATGACGGGCACTCAGGCCTCAACAATCACTGGCTGAGTGATTGTTGAGGACACTGGGTGGGCACAGTCGGAACAAACGAAAAGGACAAGGTCCTTCCCTCTGGAGGTGCACAAAGCAGAGCTGCAGAGACGTGTGCAGTGAGCACCTTCAGGACACCTGAGTGATGATGCTCAGGCAGAGGAGAGGATTCTAGAAGGAAGGACTTATTCATCATGCAAGATCTTTACAAATGAGTAAGGAATTTTCCTTGGTAATCAGCTAAAAAGCAGTCCACAGTCTGAGGGATAGAAGCAGGACTGTAGCAGGAGGCTGAGGAGTGAGCTGCAGGTCTGGGAGTTTCGACTCTGTCATTCACTGGGAGTGGGGGACAGAGACCGCCCTCTGTTATGTGCAGGTCCTCTCCACAGCACACCCAGGCCCTCACTGAGCACTACCCCCTAGAAGAGGAAGCTGTCATTCTGAAGCTCTGTGCCAGCTTCCCCTTCACAGACAGCCCCCACCATAGCAAACCTCCTGAAATACTGTTAAAAGCCCCATTGAAAAGTATGTTTTGAGAACTGTTAACCTCAACAGGATTTTAGAAACGGAGTATCTCCGAAGATGTTCCATGCTTGCCCACATGGGCTCACTTTCCAAAACTGGGCATTCTTGTGTCATGGGTTATCAGGAACCACACCTGACAACTAGGTCGTCAGGGGGTGAGGGAGCCCACCTGATTTGCTATCCGTCCGGGGGTCCATGATGACAAACTCTGGCCGCAGCTTGCTGATGCGCCGCCCCTTGAGGATGGGCACAAGCCCACCCAGGTACTCCAGGTAGAGGGTGTAGCATGGGCCGCCCACCTCTGGGTCGTCCTCCGTGCGCTTCATGGTGCAGTGCAGACGCTCGTTGCCAGCTGAAGGGTAGCTGACAAAGTCTCGCATGTTGTTGGGGTCTGGAATGGGGGGCTGGAAGCAGAACATGATAGAGAAGAGAGAGCGTGGGCTCACTGCTTACTCTAACAGAGCACTGCCTGGTAGCCCGACTAGGGGTGGTTAACTATGGGCATTAAATAGTAATTTGTAACCCTGGATGGACGTCAGAATAACGTGGGAGTTCTAAAAAAAAAAACACCTGAGCCAAGATCCCAACTGAGACAATGAAACTGGAATCTCTAGGGGCTGGGCCTTGGCATGTATCTGTTCTAAAAACTCCCCGGGAATTCTAATGTGCAGCCAGGTTGAGAATTACTGGCACAGAAGCAAGATTGCAAAGGAACTTGAAAGAAAAAAAATCACAAAGAGATTCTAAATCTCTGATGTTCCAGGGAAAAAGTAATCAACAAGTCAATCTAATACCTAGAAGCAGAGACGGAACACAAAGAAAAGAATGCAGAACAGAACCTAAGGTTAAAGGGAAACCCACACCTGCACAGCCCCTGGCAGGCACATACCACACACTATCACACGAACAGAGCGGTTTTCAAGTTACGATCAGTATGCAGAGGACTGACAGCAAGTGCTGGGTGGGGGCTGCTCCTCCTCAGCACAGTGGTGAGGCTGGCGGGCCCTAAACATGGACCTGGGGTTCAATCCTGCCCATTCCCCTACGTAGTCATGGAGAAAGTTACTCAACTTCTAGAAACATGCTTCTTGTTTTTTCAAGTGGGAACAGCAGCAGCATCTGCCAGGAATTCAGGACTGAATAAGACAAACTGATCATCAGGACGACACAGCACTTGGGCGCAGAGGCTGCCTTTGCCATGACACAGCCAATGCCCATCTCATGAGGAGAGTCCCTTGTGGACACAGTGAAGATGGTGCACATGTGGAAGGATGTGATGGAACTCTGCACGGCCACACACACCTTCTCCGCTCAGACACTCTTGTCAAGGGGAGATAATGTCTGTGCTCCTGCTCTGGGAATTATCAGCCACCTTCCCTGTCTTTGTCCTTCTTTCTGCAAGGGTGGAGAGGAGGAGAAGGAGTGGGAGGGGGAGGGGGGAGGGAGAAGGCCCTACCTTGATGGTGGGGATGAAGGCAGTGGAGAGGTAGGAGCAGAGGCGGGGGGGCAGAGCCAACTTGCTGACGTCTTTGTCTTCTCGCAGGGCACTGGCAATGGCCTGCTGGCACAACAGCTGCAGGCTGGACACCCGGTGCTCTACCCGTACCACGTACAGGGCCGGTCCTGATGCCATCAGCAGCCTGGAGTCCCGGTGGCCCCAACAGATGGAGATAATGGGGCGCTGCCAGAAAGTGAAGGGAGACCTCATGTAAGCTTTTGCTCTTAAAAGTAAAGAAAGATCATGTACGCTTGTCTCAAGCAAAATAAAGTGACCTAGTAGTTTTTGAGATACTGGCTTTAGTAAGTACAAGAAAGAATGCTTAATACTGTACTATGAAAATTCATTACTTTCACTGAACAGTGGTTAGATTCTAAGTACAGAGTATTGGAATAGTTTTATGAGGTCCTTTTACATATATTATCTCATTGAAGTTGGTGCCACAAATGTAACATAGCTCTGTGTAACAACATTTCTACCAGAAGGTGCAATCGGCTTGGGGCTCAGTAATCCATACTCCTTACTAAAACTGTGATTATCTGGATCTCCAAATCACTGGTGGTGGTTCCCATGGCTTGGGCTGGTGGTGAGGAGGTGAACCAGATGGCCCTTCTCTTTTGTTCTGATAGGGAGCATTTTAGGGTCAAATCAACACTGGATTTGGGGCCGAAGCTGCAGGACCTGGGGGCTATTACATAATCCCTGCAAGTCTACTTTCTCATGAGTCAGTGGGAGCTGTGAACATTAAAGGAGACAAAAGATGACAAGTGCCCCTGGCATCTAACCCACACATGTCAAGTCCCTGCTACTCTTCGCTACTGCCAAGCTGATGGGACTGAGAGAAAGCGCAGAGCTACCTGGAGGGGGAAAGGGAGGGGAGCACAGTTCCAGTGACGGCCTCTCTGGGGGTCTGCGGCCATCACTTGCTCTGCAAAGTCAGGCTGACATACAAATGTACACGTAGAAATGGCTTGTACCAAAAAACTCAAAGCTCAGGGGAGCCATCCAAGTGAGATCAGCCTAGGAAGAAAGAAAGAAGTGAAGGGCTGTGATGGAGAGAATTTGTTCATTCTGATCCAGACAGATGGAGTTCTAATTTAATGAGGTCTTGAGGGGTTTCAAAAATCAGAAGTGGGGATACCAGATTTTTTATATGAACGACAGATAGGACCAGAATTTTCACAGCATTTTAGTGACAAACATCACGATAAAAGGAACACATGAAGATACTTGCTAAAATAGCCCCTGGGGTCAGCTAATCCCAGTTTTAACTTCAAAACAAACTGCTACGCTGAAGACAATCTGGTTCCCATTTGCCAGAGCGGGGCTGGGCAGTCACTGCATGGAACAGCCAAAGCCCCTGGAGAAAGACTCTGGAGCCTGGGGCTCAAGTCTGGGGGTTTCCAGAGTACTTCCAAGATGTGCCTCTGTACAAGAGAATCCAACACAGAGGGAAGATCCCACAGAGAGGCCTGTTCATTCAGAGCAAGACTACTCACTGCTGAAAATAGTGCAGACAACATATAAAAAATGCATAAAAATTTTCTTTGATATCATCAACCCCTATTAAGTGCAGATCAGGACAGAGGTTCTATTAGTACCAAAATCATGATTAATCTTAAAGACATATTAACTCTCCCAATCCCAACCCTGTGCCTCCTAAGATATTTGCAACCTAGAGCTCAAGTTAACGAAGAACAGTTTTCAACTAGCACAACCTCCTGGATGGGAACTGGCTACAAAAACACCAGACGCTTCCTCCTCCGACTTCCCATTACTTCCAGTCCCTCCACCTGCCATGCCAACGGTTACAGGGCAGGGACCACACATGTTCACCCTCAAGTTCCCGCCCTCCTGCTAGTTCTGCTTTCAGTAGTAACCATCTCTGTGATGTGATTACATGTTTTGGGAGGATCTTATATAAAACTGTCACTATGATAAGTATGTATCTCATATCTTTGTACAAAGGAACTTAAACCAGGTATATAGAACTTGAAACTGGATAAAAACCCTGTTACATTTATGTGTATTATCACTACCTATCATAACAAAAATAATGATTGTGTCTTAAAAACTTACTACGTTCCAACAGCACCTTCAGTTACATTAACGAGGACGCACATCATCTCTCTCCAGCCTTGCACCCCCCCGTGTGGGCGCCCTGACACAGGAGGACAGGCGGCCGGACAGCCGAGGCGCCTGCCTTCCACAGAAGAGCCGGCTCCTGCCCTTTCCCTCAGTGGACGCTCCTCTTCCTGCCCCTGCTGTCAGTGTGAGGACACAGCCTAGGAAACACGTGTGGTGTCCCACAAAATCTTCAACTGCCACAGACAAAGAAATGAGCCCAGATTCTCTTGTCAGCTCTCCTTAATCCTTTTGGTCAGGCTATTTTCCTCTGAAGCAAACCAAACCACATGTCTGTGAAAAATGCAAACAGACCAGAGGGGACAGAGGCTGCATAAACAGCAATGGATAAGGAAGGGAATGATTCGTTACGGCAGAAAGGACCCCACAGGTCACGGGGACCCACGAGTGGAGAGAAAGTAGCCAAGCAGCACTCACAGCTAAGCACTGGACAGCACGGGGCGCACGGAGAGGGTGAGGAAGGGCTGTGCCACCCCAGACTGGGCACGGCATCGAAGAGGACGATTCTTCACCAGGAGGAGTGAAAAGACTTGAAAGGATGGAGGGCCAGGGCCAGCAGAAAAGAGCTGAAATCCTTTAGCCTGGACAGGTGAATCCTGCAGGGCCTCAAAGGAGAAACTGTTACTTGCAGCACGGTCGCCAGGAAATGCTGACTCCTATGAGCAGGACAAGGATACCTAGTGAAGCGCTCTGGGGCACAGCATCCACTTCCTGCCCAAGCCAGTGACAGTTCATTCCAGCATGGGGCGAGAGGGCTGCTCCTCTACTTTAGTTTTTGGGCATGTCTTCCCTGTACAACAGTAAGGTATAAAGTAGATACTGGTGCCTTTGCTGTAATTAAGGCTGTGTTAGAAAAATAAGGAAGAATTCACACACAGTGCGAGCTTCCCCCCTTGTCTGAAGATTCTGATATTTCTTTGGTGTGCAGAAATTGATTATTGTAATGACAGTGGAGTCCAAGGTTGTGCTTATATTAATAAGCCATGATCTCAGGATCCCATTAAGTCCTCTAAGCCTGTAGAAAGTCCTTTCACATTGGGATCTAATGCACAGCATGGTGTTACAGTTATAATATACAGGACTATGCACTCACAGCTGCTAAGAGAGAAGATCTGAACCTTTCTCACCAGAAAGAAGAAATGGTGGTGATGTGATGTGATGAAGGTGTTAGGTAACACAAAGGTGGAATTGTGTTGCAATATATAATTGTATCAAATCCAGGTGTTGTACACCTTAAACATGCTTAGTGTTAAGTGTCAATTATATAGCAATAAAGCTGGGGAGGGGAGGGGGGGAAGATAAGCATACACGTGAGTCCTTTTATCTCATGTCATCTTCCTTTTCTAGTGTCATTCCTGTTGGTGATCATTTTCCTACGCTGTTTTCTGGTACTCCAGATGGCAAAGGCCTGGTGACAAAATATTCTATTGAGGAAACTGGAAGAAGACTTTAAGGACCAGGGACTATGTGTTCTTGCAGATGTGGGGTGTGGGGCTTTTACCAGAGCTATGTCTTGACTTAGCATCCTAGTCGGTGACTTCTGCCACCGGGTCCTCTAGGACCAGAGTCTGCCTGCCCATGGTCCTCGCCCACAGAGCTCTGTCCCTCCCTAGGACCCCCACCTCCCAGGATCACTTCCAGAAGAGAAAGGCACCAAGCGGTGAAGTTTAATGAAGCCGGGAGCACTCCAGGGGACACACACACCTGACACTCGCCAGTGTTTCCATCTGGACGGCTGCTGTGTGCCAGAGGAAAACTCAGGTGTAAGTCTGTGGACAACATTGCTCTCAAATCACACAAAAGAACCATTTTTAGGAGTGATGGCTAGAACTGTGAAATTGACAACATTAAAGTCCTGATTCGTGTAGGAAAGTTCACATACTTTGTGCATCCACACTGGAGGCAAAGGGCAACAAAGCGAGCCGCCTGCTGGTGGGAGTTAGCGAGGTGGCCACCCCGTGCTCTGGTGTGTGTGATGGAACAGCCAGGGGCATAAGCCAGGTGCAGGAAAAAGGGTGAACGCACAGGCACATCTCAGAGGTACTACAGGTTTGGGTCCAGACAACCGCAGTAAAGCAAGTACTACAATAAAGAGAATCACAATTTTTTTTTGCTGGTGGAGCATCCTCCCTTGAGTTTGTAATAAAAACAAAACATCACCCGCGAAGGTCAATAAATCGAAGCACAAAAAGCAAGGGCCGTGAGACAAGGCACCCCTGTCAGTGAAGTGCCTGTACCCCCCTCTCACTGCTAGTGCTGGGCCAATTTAAAGTGAGCGCAGGCTAATTTGCTCCAGCCACGCCCCTGATGCAGGACAATAGAATGGAGGTGTCAGTGGCCAGCTTCAACTCCTTATAGCACCCAAAGACATGCTGAATACATCCTGATCCTATCTCCTGCCACTCTGTGAGAGAGGCCATGCACCCGTCCAGTCGCTTACTCAGCGATTCCAATACTGGTCTGCCATTCAGCACAGCTCTGCTCAGTGTGCACAACAGGCCAGACAGACTCTGGGTGTGAGAGAGGTTCCCGCCCTGGGGCGCTGCCATTCGGGGGGAGAGGAGGAGAAAATACCTTAGTATCTGTTCAGACTACTCTATAAAGGCGAGGGGTGGAAATGCTGTGAAAAAAAAAACTAGGTTAGGATAAGGGGCCAGAGGAAGACCAGGGAAGTCGCTTCAGCACAGGCCCAACTGAGTGAGGGAGCTTATTTACCTAATTTTTAATTGGAATGAAAGCTTCCTCACTATCTGACTATTTTTTGTACACAGTAGTGAATTGAATGAAGTCTTCTATAAATTTAAGGAAATACAAAGCAGGGTGTCTTTCCCATATTAAAGTTAAGCTGATCAAGCAAAATTAAAGTCAATAAACAACAAAAGGGTCAGAGAGAGAGAGAGAGAAAATGACGCCACTCAAGCGCCCGGTCTCTGTGGTGGAGGGGGGGATGACAGGATCCAGGCTGAGGCCCCACTGCCCAGCCCACGGAGGGGTCCCATCCCTGTGAAGGTCATGGCAGTCTGGCCCTCCCTTCTGCAGCTCCCTCTGAAGGAGCCGGGAGTGTCTGTCTTGGAACCAATGCACAGCAACAGTCTCAGAGCCCCCAGGAGAAGCGGATGTTGAATGCTTGTATGAGCATGTGCAAAAAAGGAAAGCTTTCTAGAACAGTGCACTTTCAAACAAACTAAGCTGGTAACTGGTCATCAACAAATTGTGTTGGTTTGGCCACCAACTAAGTTACAGTAATAAAAAACTAGCTTGGGATTCACTGACCCAAAACCTGAGTTTTAAAAGAGTACACCACTTTGTATCGTGTAAGCAGATGACCGAGGGAAGGACTTTCTCGTCTATGTACCAAATCAGGCAAAGCACACCCACGGCAGCTCTGTGAGAACAGGCAGATTTAATCCTCAACAAAAGGAGGCAAATATACTTTTTCTAAGGATTCTCCTTTAAGAGCGTGAAAGTCTATGATGATAAATGAGATCTCTTATTTGACTTTTCAATTCCCACATCTACCTTCTTCTTCTTTCTTCTCTCTTATTTATTTTTATTTATTGATTTTGAGAGAGAGAGAGAGAGAAGTAGGGGAGAAAGGAGGGGAGAAGAGAGGGAGAGGAAGGGGAGGGAAGGAGAAGAGAGACAGGGAGAGACAGAGGGGTGGAGAGAGGGAAGCACCAACTTGCGGCTCTCACCCACCCAGACACACACCGGTCACCTTCTGCACCTGTCACCTCAACGGACCAGGATGCTGCCCCAACCAACTGAGCTACCTGGCCAGGACCCTTCTCTCTTCATTTTCTACCCAAATACCTTACATCAATAATTTAACCTTGTAGAACAAAAGGGGACCCGTCTCACTTGCCTTTAACGCAGGAAAAAGTTCACAAAACCAGAACAAAACAGACTGACCAAACAGCAGCCCGGACCCCCACTACCGAAGTCGGCCACGTTTCAGTCCGTGGTGCCAACTCTGAAAATCCGCGTCAGGCAATCAGACATGCTACTATATATAGACAGTCACAGAAAACGGCTAATGAGATAAATTATAGAATTTTAAATTACAACAGGTAGGCAGGAAAGGAAAATGAATCACAGTACATTTCCTTACAAGAGTTTCAGCCACAGGCATCACTATCAGGAGTAAATCAGGAGAGTCCATGTTAGAGCTGAGGCTCCATGAGTTCGTGCTCGGCCGAGAACGGCTCTGGACGCAGTAATCTACAACCTAATTAACTTGGAAGTTAATTATCCATTCTCAACTGTATTTCTTTTTTATGAACACCTCAATAAATTGCCTAACTTCTTTCCTGCTATAAAAATGTCTGCCTTCAGACTCCTTGAATAGCACAGCTCAGGTAACGTGATTTTAGAATCATTCCACACAAAAGTAAGTTGGTACTATACATAATTAATATTTTACTTGATTTTTAATGACATCATTATTTAACTTTATATTATTAAGGCAATTTTTTCAATGGTTGAAATGGACCTTCAAATTTAAAAAAAAAAAGTAATTTATTTAAAATGCTGAGACACTACATGGATATTCTGGCCCAAAGGAAAATAAACCAAGCACCTCTTTCACTCCTGAACCCCGGCAGTATAAATACAAGACCCGCAACACCTTCGAGTCACAGCTGATGAGATCTTTCGCAAGGGTTAAGGCCACTGAGGCCTTATTACATTCGGGCACACTCAAGATTAAAAAAAATGAAGAAAACATAGTCTTTCCCTTAAAGAAAATAAAACAAGTGGACAGAAATACGTGATACATGCCAGAGGCATTCGGTAGCCCGAAGGTTCATAGAGAAGGGCCGAAGGCGCTGGGTAGGTTTACAAACGAGTGTGGCCGGTCTGGCGGGAAGGAGGGTGGCTTCTCCCCAGCTGAGACGGCAGGACGGGACCCTCCTTGTGGAGGGAGCAGAAGGTGGCCAGGAAGGGCGCCCTGAGTCAGAGAGCAGAGCAGACAATGCTGCAGGCACTTGTGTGCTCCGGCACAGCAGTTCACAAGTATCCTGATGAACGAGAAGGCCTTTTTCCCTCAGAAAGAGCTGAAAATTCCCACCCCCTCCTACTTGTCTTCCGTCTAAGCAATAGGTAGAGAGCTGGGATGAGACCTGATGAGAAGGGCACCTGGCCTATTGGTTCAAGCAACCAATAGGAAGAACCGTAAAAATCATATGCTGACAACTGTCCATCTATCAGCCCACTAGACGACGGCTCACTGAACACCTGCTATGTTCCAGGCAATGCACCAACAGAAGGGTCAGACAGTAAACAAGGTTAAGTCTCCCTCAGTCTCAAATCTGTAGGGACTCTGGGACCTACGTTTATTTTGCCATATGACTTAGCCTCACGCTAACAGCCTCAACTCCGCTCCACTTTAGCTCTTCCCTGGTTTGTTTGCTTCATCACTTCCAATTACCAAACTTCTACATTAGGAATAGAGATTTGAAATTCTTCTCCAACTACAAATTCTCATGCTGTTTTCATCACTTCTTGAACATGCCTTCTCATGACTTCACACTTCCCAGTCTCAGATCAGAAAGCATCCATTTATCTACCCACCCGCCCAGAACCACACATCCCTAGTAGCTCCCTCAATCTTCTCCTAGCTTTTGCCTTTCTGCTGTATTAATCTTTCCAATCCCTAACTTCAGGCGACCTGCATCACTTCTGCCTCCAGGGACCGCAGAGAAGACACAGACAACACTGACTCACTTTAAAGTCACCCTCTCAAGCTTGGGCTGGGACTTAGTTTCAGCTTATTGTCTTTACCGGCTCCTGTACCATATTCCTGTACGTTAGTGCTTAGGGCTTAAGAGCTTAGTGCCAGGTGCACAGCAGCCCCTTAAAATATGTTTTACAGCTACTTGAGCAAACAAGTTATGCTTATTTGTCCACAGAGGATACTGCATTGTCAAAAGATACATTTAAATCCTGTACCGCAGGATTTAAAACCAAATAATCCAACAACATAAAACCAAATAATCCAACAAAATACTGGCAAGGGTCTCAAAGAGTCTTCTCTCCAAAGAAGCAAAAATGGCCAGTAAGCAGATGAAAAAGCCTATCAAAGGATGCTCAACATAATTCCCAGGGAACTACAAATCAAAACCTCACACCCATAAGGATAGCTACTATAAGAAAAACACAGAGTCCTGGATGTGGCCCAGTTGGTTGGGTGTTATTCTGCAAAGCCAGAGATTGATGGCTTGATTCCTGGTGGGGGCCCATGCCTGGGTTGTGGGTTTCATCCCCAGTTGGGGTGCTTAGGAGAGGGAATCTTCTCTCTCACATCAATGTTTCTTTCTCTCCCTCTTTCCCCCATCTCTAGAATCAATAAAAGGAAAAAAATATTACAAAAACACAGAAAACAACAAGTGTTGGTGAGGATCTAGAGTACACCTTGGGCACTGTTACTGGGAATGTAAAAATGGTGCATCTGCCATGAAAACCAGTAGGGAGATTTCTCAAAAAACTAGAAATAGAGCTACCATATGATCCAGAAAGTCTATTGGGTATTTATCCAAAGGAACCTGAAGTAGTGTTTTAAAGACATATTTGTACACCCCTGTTAACAGCAGTATTATCTCTAATGGCCAAAAGGTGGAAGAAACTCTTTATATACATATATAAGTAAAATGGCACATTATTTCAGCCTTAAAAAGGAGAGAGACTCTGACATACGCTGTACTGTGGGTGGGCCTTGCGGACACTATGCTCAGTGAAACAGGCAGTTGCAAAAAGACAGACGCTGGGCAGTTCCAGTTATATGAGCATGCAGAGCAGCCAAATTCATAGAAATAGAAGGGTATCAAGTTGCAGTTTTATAAGGTAAAAATGTTCAAGATTGGTTACACCACCGTGGAATAACCTTTAACACAACTAAACTGTACACTTAAAAATGGTTAAGATGGTAAATTTTATGTGATGTATATTTTACTGTAAGTTTAAATAAAGATATATGTAAATAATGAATGCCTGCATCTAATTACAAAACACCCCTATCTGGTATGTCTGCCTCTCTGATGAGCTGGGCAAGGTGAGGACATGGGTCCCTTGTTTATGACCATCCCCGCCAACTGTCAACCCACTCGCCGTTCACTCTCCGGCGCACTCCACTGAGAATTCACTGTAACTGACCTAGACAAGAAATGAGCTGGTCTGAAGATTTCTGGAACATAAAAACAATGGTCTGAAGATTTCTGGAACATAAAAACAAAGAGAAAGGGGCCCACCTGCGCACACTTTCTTAAAGACCTTTAAGCTTTTAAACGCAGTTAACAATAACTTAGTTGAAATATAGAAGTATATTACTGACATAACAAGCATAAAATCAGAGTGAATAAATGAAGATTCAGCTTTTACTTCTGCATGTTCCTTCTACTTCAGACTGATGATGTAAACACCAGGTCACTCTGCTTACTGTCCACTCATTTGACTAGACGGTGAAAGAAAGTATTTTGGTTTAAAGGCAAACATGTCTTTCTTCCTATTTCTCCTGGTCCATACCCCATAATTTAGTTCAAGTCAACAAAGGATTGCCCTGTCAGAGACAATTACAGCGAGTATAACCACCTCATGAGTGTTTAAGGAAGACTGAGGGCGCACTAACACAAGGTGTCACAGTGCATGCCCTACACACAGCCTTACTTGCACTAGAGTGTCCAGTGTGAAGATGTGCTCCCCACGAACATTGTAGAACTTGACCATGGCGTTCTTTAGGAGAGGGCCGTTGGGAAGGTCACCGAGCTGGGTTTGCCATTCCATACCAGCGACTGCCAGGAGGTCTCCCTGCGTGCACCACTGGGCCACCACCTCTGGAATCACAAGGAAGAAATGGATGGCGTGAAGACTTGACCCTCTCTGAACATTGACTTAAGTAGTTTAAAAACAGAGGTGCTGAATAGATGTAATGGTGGTTCTCCCCTTTTCTCTCTTGAAGACATGAGCTACCCATTCCTCTGAAGACAACAGAGACTCTGTTAAGAACAGATGTTTATTACTTAGATAAGAAATGTAGTTCCCCCGAAACATAGCTAAATCAGGCGAAGATCATATATGACAAAGCTGGCAGGTTAACTATCTATCTCTAAGCCAGTATTTCCATAATAGGACTTGCAGAAGTCTGGGAGAGCAGGGAAGGTAATAAAACCTATGACTGTATGTCCTAAGTGTTCTGCCCACAGCTGTGCCCCCTACTCCCAGAGATGACTCATAGACATTAAAAATGCCAGAAGTAGAAAGTAAATCCAGAGCGAAGCCTCATTTTGTGCTCATTTGATTTCTGTGCACCACCAGGCATATAATGTGGAGGAAAAGGTTGTATCTGTTATGAAGGCCCTGACGTTTACTCAACAGTTGATGATGTTGCGCGGGGCTTAGAACGCGACAAATCCTTCTGTTGGGTTGTAGTGGGTCAGAGAAATGTCCACACTGGGGATGTGATGCCCTCCTTTACCTTCCAGTGCCGACAACAAATGGCTCTTAAATGTTTTGCCTAATCCCAATGTGAGCTGGTTATTTACTTCTGCTGGTAAAACAAGCTGTTAGTGCTATACATTTACAGTACAGTTTCTCTTCCTCAACACCCTAAGACCACAGGTAGCTGACACAGAGTTCCCTGAAGTCTGGAGCACAGGGGGCCATTCTGCAGAGAGTCTGGGCAGGGGTATCCATGACGCTGGGTCTGGAGTTCACCAGTTCCTGGGCTCTCACAGGTAACACTTGACCGTGGCATCTCCCCTGTTCATGTGTCCCACCGGTGCTGACACGAACACCAACCACTCAGAGGTCACTGAGGCACTTAACTTCCCTTGGAGACCGGACAGTAACCCTGGGACAAGACAACTCCCCCAACCCAGGGAAGCCAGAGCCTGCTTGTCGAGTCGGCCACAGACAGAAACTAGAGACAGAGGTAGCAGAGGGCTGGGTGGAAGTACCTACAACGGGCACCAAATGAAAGAAACTCTGCAACTTCAGAAAGCAAAAACATCAGTGAAAGGCGTTTTATCCTGCCTTTTCTTATAAAAGGAGAATAACGTTGAGTACAAACCGGGAAGTGAAAAATAAAAGAATAAAACACATAACATGGAATAGATTTTAAAAAGGTGACAGGGGATGCCACAGGGCTTGTGTACATGCTCAAGTGTGCCCAGATGCCTGAAGGCCCAGGCCACTCGGCAGAGAGCCTTGTCCTGAGGACGAAACTGAAATGACCCGCTCAGGATGGTACCTCTGGAAGCACATGGCAGTCCAAAGGAGGAGCCTAAGAAAAAGAACAAAGTCTACCATTGTTCAGGGCAGAAATGTCACTGCAATGCTGTGGAAACAAAGACAGAAGCACTGAAGCCCCCAGGCTCCTCAGCGGACCCACTCTGGGTAGTGGGTGAGCGAATACCTGAATCATTCTCTTTTAAAATTCATTTTAATAAGAATCTTTGCATTTTGTCTTTTCCCAACAGAAAAGTGGCCTATGGCCCGTGGCCCCACGGGTTGACCCAGACACATAATTACATTCAGAGGCTGCTCAAAGAGGAGCCCTGGGCACTTGAAGGTGGTTGTTTAGTAGGTGGGGCCGTCTGCGTTAAGCATTAGCCCAAGCCTTTACAAGCAAAATGCTCAGGGACTTCTTTAACACAGTTCAGGAACAGAGTCAATAAATTCAACCGAGTCACTGTGGTCAAGCTGCTAAATTATTCAACAAACTAGGCTGAGGCATAAGGAAACGATTCTACTGAATCGATCTACTGCTGCTTTAATGAGGCTGGGAACTTAACTTTCTGGACTGTCCAGTCCTGCATCAATGCCTGGATGCCCATTGGGTCACTGTGCATCAATGCCTGAATACACACCAGACCCTCAGATGACCATCTGAATGACCTCAGGAGGAAACTGTTCCACTGTCCAGACCACCAAGAATCTGAAGATTAACATGTTGGGCCAGTGCCGGGGTTAAGAATACAGGACTGGCTCTTTTCAAGAAGATACTTTTGCCCTGGCTGGCGTAGCTCAGTGGATTGAGCGCGGGCCTGCGAACCAGAGTATGGCGGTTCAATTCCCAGTCAGGGCACATGTCTGGGTTGCAGGCCAGTTCCTGGCAGGGGACGCATGAGAGGCAACTAAACATTGAGGTTTCTCTCCCACTCTTTCTCCTTCCCTTCCCCTCTCTCGAAAAAATAAAGAAAGAAAATATTTTTTTAAAAAAAGAACACACTTTTTACTATAAGAACCCTTAGCTTTCCTTTCTCTGTTGGAACAGTCTACGTACTGCCTGGCTGTGTTTCTAATTTACGAACCCTAGGACTCTTCAATAAATCTGTCACTTACTTCTAGGCGAAGCCTCCTGACTCTTTCAGAGTGCATTTGAGAGTTATAAAGTCACCCTGAGACAGCTGCAGTCTACAAAGGCAAGCCAGTCTTTCACAGGAGTAAGTTCCACGATAACCAGGCCATTCTTGTTCTACCACTTGTGCTAGTAGCGACACTGAGGGATGCGGCAGGGACCAGTGCCGGGCCAGAGGGACGCGGTTTGGACCCTCTGACAGCACGAACCGTCCTGACATGTAGGACAGGAATGCCAGTCATCGGGGAAGCAGGGTCCCTCGTAACACCCTGATGTGAAGAATTCACGAGTAGGACTGAGAAAGAAAAACCTTGGGTTGTTCAATTTCGGCCAGGGGTACAGGAGTACTCTCGGGGGCTGAATTCCTAGCCCTGGAGTTTTAACTGGAGAAGAATGAAAAAAAATATTCATTCAAGTTCTAGATGTCACTATAATGAGGAAGAGGCAAGGATACGAAGTCCAGGTGTGGTCAGGACAGAACCTTCGTTGTACCAGACATTTTGGTAAGCTATGCCTGACTTATTTTAGAAAAGAATCCCTGGTATCTTTGCCCAATGTCTAGTAATAATTTCATTTTTTTGAATCTCCAAAAACTTTTTAAAAATATGACTTAGAAGGAATGAACTAGCGCTTTATCCAGGAGCCTCTTCTCATTATTCCTTAGCATAGTCTCTAGGGCTGTGGCAATCTGAAGTGCAAAAGAGGCCCTTGCTCCTGAAACACCGAATTTTCTTGATGATTATGAAGTGTGTGTGGATTCTTATCTCTTAAACATTTTACACAATAAAAATCAGCAAAACTACACTATTCCACTGTACTTTGGCCAGCCAATCTTACGAATCTCTCTTTGGGAAAAGCCTGGAGGATCAAAATTATATATGCAGCCAGGCTGCGGTGGGGAGAGGACCACGTTCTTCTGGACACATGTACTGGAGCTGCCGGCTGGGAGCTGGGGGTTCACTCAGGTCTTTCCCCTTAAACATCCAAGTTCAAGATTCGTCTTTTTGTTAGTCATCAGATGTGTGTGTACTTGTGTGTGTGCACGTGTGCATGCAGGTCCGCACACAGACAGAAAAGAAGGCAGGAATGAAGCAGGGACTCATGTGATGGTACAACAGCAGGTACAGTGTTTTCTCTAATAAGAGTGCTGTTCGTGAGCACAGCAGGACTGAAAAGAAAAAGTCTGTCGATGAGGACAACCAGAGAAATCTTAGGAGCTAAAACTGTGGGAGCGGGCAGCTACACTGACCAAAACCTCTGAATCTCCAAAAACTCCTCATGACCTTCTCAGTGCTCAATGAAATGAGAAAAAGGAAATTCTGCACAACAAAGAAAGTCTCGAGTTTGAATTCCTTTATAGGGGAAAGTGGGTGAAGAGACACGCTTTCGAGAGCTTGCTTTGCTACCAGAGACACACTGTTTCTGTCAGAGAATTTTGAAACTCCTGAAGAAATTATTTTTCTTTGAAGGATACCAGAATGTGCCACCTGAAACATGCCTCATTGGCATAAGGATTATTTTGAGAATAAGCAAATACAAGACAAGCTCTCTGCCTCTCCCAATTTGCCAAAAAGCAAGATTTAAGTTTGTCAATGTGTGCGACCTGCCACCAGGAAAAAACATAAATCAGTACCTGGAGACTGACTTAGGCCCTATCAACCTGGAGAAGGCACCAGAAGAACCTACAAAACAAACTGTATGAACTAGCCCTTATCTTGCATTAGTTCCCACCACTTACTGCCCTAGAAATTTAGTCCTTTTCCTTTTTTTTGTCACTTCTCTAAAATGTATTATTCTTTTGTTAACATGCTATGTAATCCTATGTTCTCACCACCTCATGAGTTACTCATCTCCGAGTGCTTCCTTGAGTTGAGCGCAATGCCCAAGTCAAACACTGTTTGCTCTTCTCTTGTCCGCCTGTTTGCTGGTCTACTTTACAGGGTCCCAGTTGCGGAACCTCAAATGGGTAGGAAGAAAAGTTTTTCCTCTCCTAAATCCTCAAGAAAGAGTAAAAGTAAAAACAAAACAAAACAAAACAAAACAAAAAAACCCAATAAGGTAAACCAATCTATGGTTCACTGTATGATAAAAAGTCCCCAAATTTAGGATTCTCAAATTTTTCATTGAGGCACAGCTTGCTCAGGAAACATCTGCAAAGCAAATGTCATTCCTCACCCCCATTCACATGGAACTCCATGGGAGTTCAGTCTGTGAATTCAGACTCCAGAGGAGTCTGGCCAGATATCTGGGGGGTAGGGCCCAGAAAGCCAATCCTTCCTCTCCCCGTCCCCTCCCACCCTGGCAAGAAGGGAAGGAGTTACAGAAAGTGCCAAATGCATCCTGGGACTGAAAGGACCTGGGGTTTGTGAGGTCCTTTCAGTGCCTTGGTGTAACAGGATACAGCTGGGGGGGGGGGGGGCTTAAAAAGGGATTTGTAATGGAATCCAGAACTCAGGGTATCTAGGAAATACTAAATATATATATATATATATGATGTCCTCACCCCCACAAGTCTGAACACATGGAGCAGGGCCACTGAGAGCTGTTTTGCAGCTAACCTCTGGCATGGTCACTAGAAAAACATATCTATAACCTTTAACCAGTTTCACAGATATGTTAAATAGCTGTGACCATGCTTTGAGCCAGGGATATGAAAGTGACTTCCACCCAGGATGTAACTGGGAAGCAACAACCCCCCCCTCCCCGGTTACAGCGCCTGTGTGAGAGCTTGTAGTTGGTTGGGACCGCATGGCTTTGGGGCTCCCTTTGCTACACAGCTTAGGTAGCCGAAAAGCAGGATGTAGCAGTGACACAGAGCTCTCTCTTAGTGGTTGGGAAGAATGCAGGAGAGACACTGCGGGAAGGAAAAGGGTGAAAGCACTCTTGCTGGTGGGTCAAGAGAAGGTGCCATAAAAGTTTGGGTTAAGAACTGGAGATCGCAGCTGATGGTGCTGGGAACCTCGGGGGGCCTGCCAGCTGACCATGGATTACTGGGACTGCCTGCTTCCTTTTCCTGAGATACTGTACCCCAGACTGGGCCAAGGGGGGAAGGAAAGACTGTGTGTGCTGGGATCTTAATGAAGACATTAAGTCATTACTCTTAAGTCTGTATAACCTTTGAGTAAGTAATTCCTTTCCTTTTCACCAATCTCTGGCATTGAGAGACGTGATTCCCTGGCAGCAGGCAAGGTGAACCTAGTACAGGAGGACCCTGGGAGAAGCAGGGGGGTCCATTCGGTAATAGTATATTATGTCCACCCATGGGTCTGTTCTGTAACACTGGAGCAACTATAAAAAAAGCCAACCTGGCCGTGCAGACCTGTATGCCCTGCCCCAGCAGCTGAGCGGCCCTGTAACACAGGCTGCACAGAGCCTCCACAGGCAGTGGGGCCAGACACCCCATGGGGCCAAGATGCTCGCGCTTCTATGTGTGGCTGTGAAAACTCCTGCTCCTTTCTGGAAAATGGCAGCCGAAAGAGGGGCAAAGACTCTGTGGGGTTGACAAACATAGCAGACACTGGCCCTAACTGGTTGAGATCTGGACACTCCAACAGTGTGCAGGATTTGGGGGGAAAGATTTAAACGGGTGGGTGTGGAGGAGCTCACTCTCTTCCTCGTCCCTGGTTAGGGTGGGGCATGGAATGTTCATGGATTCCACGGACACACAGATACACGAACTGGGAAAGTTCCTAGGCACTAGGGGTGCGAGCAGCCTTGCATGCTGGAACCCAGTGGACTGAGCCCCTGGCATGACCAGCTGCAGTGACGGGGCAAGACACCCTGGTCCCAGGAGAGAGACAGAAGCTAGGTGAGGCAATGGTGATGCTGGAACCCACAGGCGTGTACCCCAGAGCGGGAGAACCTGAAAGCTGGAGAGACGGGATACCGGTTTGTGCAGGGACCTGGGCCTCCAAAAATGGCAGATAATCATGACAGGGACCTTCTGGGCATGGGTCTGGATTTCTGTCTTTCTGAGAAAAAGGGAATTTCTGTGTCTTGAGGAAGATGTTGGCTTGGAGCAAAGATGCTCCCAGCCACGCCCCCCCCACTGGGTACCCTATTCATAAAAACCTTTTTCCTTCTCCACCAATCCTTGTGCTATGCTTGTACACGGAAGCAGGTGGCCAGATCTCAGGCTGCTACACACACACACACACACACACACACACACACACACACACACACACCCCATGAAGGAAGTCTGATAGGTGGCAAGGAAAATGGCTGGTCATGGGGACCATGAGCCATGGGGAGTTCTAAGTTCCTTTGCACATGACATAATTATGGTGTTGGTAAAAAACTAAAGAATATCTTAAGTATCTTTCTTCACTGGGAGTTTTCTGATGATAATTTTTGAGACAGTAACAAAGAAACACTAAGTGGATATAGGATAGGCATTAGAATAAAACTGGAGTCAAAAAAATTTCACATTTGTGAGGGCTACTTTGGGTCATCTTCCTTGATCAAATGAGTTCTTGATCCTTTGCTGCAAATTTGATGGAAATGTGTTGAAAATGCTGCTCCAATACAATCTAGTCTGAGAAACAGAGAAAAAGATAATACATTCAAGGAATAAAAAAATAAAGTTTTCATATGTAGGCAGGTTAGTAAAAAAATCAGAAGAATTCTCCCTATAAAGAATAAAAAGGAGCCCTGGCTGGTGTAGTTCAGTGGATTGAGTGCAGGCCTGTGAAGCAAAGGACTGCGGCTCAATTTCCAGTCAGGGCACATGCCTGGGTTGCAGGCAGTTCCCAGTGGGGGATGCATGAGAGGCAACCACACAATGATGTTTCTCTCTCTCTCTCCTTCCCTTCCCCTCTCTCTGAAAATAAACAAATTTTTTTAAAAGAATAAAAAGGAAATTAAGTGGTAACTGCATTCTTTTTAGCCCTGATCAGATATTTGAGAACAAAGTCCAGGATTTCAGACTAGACGTTGGTTCTGATTAAATGAATGAACTTGGCTAAAAGTTTTAAAAATAGAATTTTGAAGAAAAAATAGAGCTTAAATTACTAAATATATGGGAGAATTTAATTTATAATGACCATCCCTGTATTTAAGTTCCATAAAATACAGAGAAATTCAGAAAAAGCCTAAGAATTTGAGCTCACCATCATCACATAGACAAAAAAATACTCTGCATCTAACAGCTCATTTGTGGTAAAGAAAAACTTCTTACCTGGTTCATGTTCCTAAGGAGTCTACAGGCTAAACAATTTATACATTTATAGTTTTGAAACAGCAAAATGGGATGCCCACAGATAGGGTATAACTTGCTTCTACAAATATTTTCTAGTTGAAAAAATCAATTACTAAGTAGTTAGGGGCAGGGGGATGTACAGGCAAATATGATGCATTCCAGCCAATCAACAGTTAGGTATATGGACTTTATTGTCTACTTCCCTGTGATTCCCAAGCAACTCAGCCAGGACGCAGCGGCACACAGTCAGGACTCTGGCCCGATGGCCAGTTCTAAACGACAGTAGCAGGTTAAACTGAACATTCTGGTTTGCCCCCACTTCCCACTCAGATTAGTTGGTCCCTAGAACATCAAGGACTAAAGTAGGCCCAGGGGTTTCTATTTCCATTACACCATTCTACCCTGAGGAGAGAATTATTTTTCAGAAAAACTCACCAAGGCCACATGACCAGTACTATTCTCACACTGGAAAATTCAGACCACTCTAACTGCCTATGGACACTGCTTTTCTCTTGAGGTAACAGCCTTTCACAATGGCTGTCAGGAAGGTATCAGCACTTGACTGCCGACCTTCACATCAATGCTTCAGTGGTGTAACCGTGAACCTCTGTAAGTCTGCCAAGGTAACTCTGCTGCACAACAATTGGTCCCTTAATAAGCCTTCAAATTGCAAGGGCTTCTGCTTAAATGTGTCTCGTGCACCGTCTGCTGTCTTGAGAACAGCAGGTGCTGCTGCCCAATGCTCTGTAGACAGTGTTGGCTTAAGGCCAACGCACTGCGCACCAGGGAGGGGACCACTCTTGTCGCAGGGGGAGAAGAGGGGGAAGATGGAGACTGACAGTCAGCAACCCCTCCTCTAGGCAAGACCAGGGAGCGACTTGTCAGTTAAGTAAAGGGGTGAAAGGAAAGGGCCTTTACCAACAGACTGCCTTAAGTCAGAAAGAAGTCACTGCAGAGGACAGGAATCACTAAGTACTGGGTGTGCGACGCCCAGCCCGGAAGGCTGGTCCCGGGGACTGGGGTCGCATGCAGCCTCTGTACCTTTCAGTCCTGAGCGGATGACAGTAGGAGACAAGTCATCATAGTTGTTCATTAAACTGATGTCCCCCGAGGTGAAGCTGACAGTGAGCAGAGGTTTGATGTTCTGCACCGGGATTGGATAGGCTGCTGGACCATCTGTGGGAACAAAAGTACTGAGTAAAAAGAGACAATGAGCACACAACCAAAATCCAGGGCCACAAGCTGCCATCTTCAGAGGGTCTTACAAACTGCCTGACAGTGTAGATCGGACACTGGACTGGGATGCTACCAAATAGAGCCCCATTGTACACCACTTCCAACTTCACAGCCCAGAGGGTGCTCACCAAAGAACCCTAGGGTGGGTGGTGGTGAAATGCGTGAAAAGTGTATTAACTTGGGCACTAATGTGTTATATGTTTCTAATGGTAGGCAAATGTAACAACTGAATGTCTTATAACATACAGGGTGGGGCTAAAGTATATTTACAGTTGTTCAGATGGAAAATCACACATTAATAGTTAAATAACACAAGAATGAACTCAATTTCATACACGTACTTTTGGGTTTAGACTGTAAACCAACTTTTGTCCCAACCTGTAGGAGAATGGTGGGGAGAGGGATGACAATGTTTTATAATCCTGGTCCCAGTGGGGCAGGTGCTAATGGGAAATGACTTTTAAAGACTTCCCCAAACCAGCTCTTCATGGGACAAACCTGCCTCACAGTCACGGGAAAGAGCAGGCATCGCCCAGCGTGTGCCTTAGACCATGAAGGGCACTAAGCACACAGCGTGAGCACAGCTGTCCAGGCTGAGGGCAAGTCCTGCCGCAGTGTAACCACTCCTAACTGGGCAGTTGTGCCTTCCACTATTTCATAGCATGATTTCATTTTGTTTAAAAAAAAAAAAAAAAAAGAGGTGGTGCAGGGAATAAGACACTGAAAAAGAGCCAGGCCCTGGGCAGGCCAGCTCTGAGTGCCAACACTGGTTGGTGATGGCCACACAAACAGTGAACCTTTCACTGTGTCGGCCACACATTTACAGGTAAAACACTGCATGACGTGAAGGAGGCTACAGTCCAAAGCCATCTCCACCAAGTTTGAAACAATCTTCCATTACAGGTCTAAATGTGTGAAAACTCAGATGCCAACTAATCTGGTTTAATGTCGCTGTGAGGCTTATGAGGGGTGTAGGTGAGGAGGTGAGGGGATGTGGGGGTAGGTTCTTCTGAACTAAGAGAGGGAAGAGCTTCTACCCAAAATAAAGACAGGGGCATGGCTATCTGTCCAACGTGCTGGCCTTCATTATGGGCAGAAGTAACAATCCTTTTCTCATGCACTAAAGCTACGGGCTTTAACAGCATTGGGGATGTGGAACCTCACATTCTAAGTCATCATGATAGCACAGCGCATTTCATCTCCAGCTCTTTATTCTCACCACATTGCAGGGACACAGAGAAGGCCATAAAGTCTCATTTTCTAGCTAGTAACACCTAAGCCAATGGCACTTCATCATCCTGACCAGTGAAGGCAAGAAAGAGGATGGCAGAGAGAAGACAGTCAAATCAAGAACAGAGATTAGGCAGACTGGCCTTGCATTTCGCTCACGAGAGCTTGCTTCCCAGTAAAGTCAGGGTGTTGGGCCTGTGGCAGACCTTTCCCCTCCTTCCTCCAAACGGGTCTGACCCCCTCGGAGCAGCGAGCTACCTTGGGGAGGGGAGTAGTCATCGGAATCCGTGTCGCTCTCGCTGCTGTCCTCCACCAGGAAGGCAGGGTAGTTCCAAGACATGCTCAGGATGCCATCAGACTCGTGTAGGAGGACATGGGCAAGCATCCTTCCGTGGCAGTCCATGACGATCACCTGCCCATCGGCTGTACCAAAAAGCACCTGCAAGTGAGGAACAGGACTGCTGATGACCAGGGGGCAAGGCCCTCCTATTCCCGAAAATCTCATCGCCTCGACTTGTTTAGAGAGGCAAACTCTATTTAGAACTAAAAACACAGACCACCGAAGTAACTGAGGGGATAAACAAAGCTTTAAGTAGAGAAAATTTAGCTGCTTGTTACTCCAAAAATTTTAGTCCTCTCTAATACCGAAATGTGACTAGCAGCACGATATTCATTATGTTGTATGGACATTATCAAACAATACTAGCAAAACCCCAGTTTCACCTTCTGTGAGTTGTTTTGTTTTCTTGGGTTGGAGGAGGAGAGTTAAGAGGGTAATATTTATTTATTTTTCTGGAAAATAAAGCAGCAGCAGAGGTTTGTTGGTAAGAATTTCTCAAATTTAGGTGTACATTTAACCCAAGAGAAAGTACGTTTGGTTATGTAAGCATGTTATCTAACCATACTGGGAAAAGAAGATGATCCTGAGATGGTTTGTCTAATATTTCATTTCACTGTGAATAAGAATGGTACTAATGTATTAATAATTAATGTTATAATGTATTAACGGTATTAATATCTTTATTAAGTGCTGATTTTGTGCTAAGCACTATACTGAAAGCTTTACCTTACTACCTGTCAAAATAATCCTGAGTAAAGTACCAGCGATGCTGGAACAAAGGTCCCATGCGTGTGCTGAGGCTGACCCTAAGGTATGGCCCTCACGGCCATGCTGAAGGATGGGACAGGCCCAGGGCAGAGCAGGCAGGGCAGAGGAGAGCAGGTGGGGGTAACCCCTTCTATCAGAGCAGCTCTAAAGCATCTCCCAGTGGCTGGGAAGCAGGACCTCCACAGGTCCATGCTATTACCTCCTGCTTTGTGTGGTGGGCCTTGCAGTCTGCGTTGACTGCCATTAAAACTTTCTACCTTTTGTGTCTAATGAGATCTCTCTACCCTGAGCAACTCATTGTGACGACCAAGCAAACTATTTCCATTTTACAGATGCAGAAACAGCCTGAGAGGAATGCAGCTGAGAAAGTTAAGTGGTCAAGCAAGGGCTATCTGATTAGAAAGATGAGGATTTAAGGCTTTTCACATATTGCCTCTTTTTGCTACTAAAATTATAACACTAAGGCCCTGGCTGGTGTGGCTCAGTGGATTGAGTGCCAGCCTGCAAACAAAAAGGCCGCTGATTTGATTCCCGTCAGGGCACATGCCTGGGTTGCAGGCTGGGTCCCCAGTGAGGGGACATGAGAGGCAACCACACACTGTTGTTTCTTTCCCTCTCTGTCTCCTTTCTTCCCCTCTCTCTAAAAATAAATATATAAAATCTTCAAACATTTTTTAAAAATAAAATTATAACACTAAGCTTGAGGGCCAAGACTGTTCACAGTTGTTACCTCTGGCATCTTGTTTTGGGTATACAAGAGACACTCAATAAATGGGTTTTTTTTAATGCATTAAAGTCTGTAACAATCAAAAGGCAAATTTTATCAATAGGATATAAATGCTGATGATTAAGACAGATTCACGAAGGGAGTGTTGGCCATTTCTCCATCTGGAAGGGTGCTGGTGTTGAGAATACAACTACCAAGTCTTCCAGTGCTTTGACAAAACCTCAGATGCATGGCCTTCTGCCCCAGCATCTGCAATTTCACCTTGTTAGAACCACCCTCGCATACCTGGGGGTTGCAGCTTCCTGTAAGTTTGGTGTGGCTGAACAAAGAATGAGGGCATGCACAGGTTTCTACAAAAATTATGATTCCGGGAAAGATACTGAGGAGATAAAGAAGGCTGGTATCCTTCAGAGAACAAAATGATCTTGGAATGTCTCTGACGTGTGTTCTGAACTCTGAAACATGAGTATGTGAGCTAAGGAATAGCTTCTCTTGATAAATAAACTAAGAAATTTAAAAAAATTAATTGCAAGAGGATATATTTCATTTAAGTAGTAATAAGCTTACTAATTAAGTAGTAATAGAATTTACAGAACTGTTAAAATAAATCACTTTCTATCAAATATTCCTTTAAGCATGATCTACATTTTAATGACTGAAAGCTAAAAAAAAAAAGGCTAAAACTTTCCCCAGGGAAGTGATGAATTATTAGTGCATGCCGTTTAAAGAAAACACAGACAAAAGCAACAGAAACTCTGCCGAAACTCTGGAAAGGCGGACACCGAATGCTGGAAAGCAGTTCTAAATGATGATAAATACTGAATATGACTTCCTGTAACTTCAACTGAAATGTATAATTTATGTGTTTCAAATTAAAAAAATACACTGGAACCCCACTGTAAGACACATGGCATGGATAACTCACTCATTTGTTCAAGGATGTTCTGAAGAGCAGCTCTGTACCTTGGTGCTGGCTGAAAGAGTCATTTATCATTTATCACTTACAGCTGTTTGTTTTAATACTGACAGCTCATTAGCAAACAGTCACTCTTCACACAGACACAGGCACGGAGTCCCCTGAGCCCTCCGTGTTGGTTCTTACAGTGCCCACGTCTTACCAGTGCAACCATCACCACGATCTGTGCTGCGTGACTACCTGGTCTCTGACTGCCACACTAGACGGTAAGCTTTTGAGGACTGGACAATGCCTGCTCTGCTCACTGCGATCTCCCCAGGGTCTGTCTTGGTAGATGACACACAGCAGTAAGTATTTATGAAGGCAGGGGATACACCTCTGCACTGAAGTGTCTTTTGAATCCCACCCGCATTTTTTCATTTTGGAGGAACACATATCAAACAACAGAACAAACACATAATTCCTGGATAAGGGGCCAGTGACTTAATAAGTTACCAGTGCTCAACATTACATTAAGGTAAAATGGAACAAAAAGCCAGCCCCCCTCTCCAGCTCCCCCCACATTATTATCCAGTTCCAAGCACAGCTTTCCTGGGAAGAGAATACAGTATAAAATTTGAGAGAAGGAAAAAAGCACAGTCTACTTGTGAAACAATGATGGAGGGAATTACTCTGTTTCGGAACAAATATGTCACAAATAACTGAAGAACACTAATACAACCTGAAATCAAATTTTAAAAAATCTCCACTACAACAAGTTCTTTTCATGCTCAATCACTTCTAATGAGATACCCTTACTTGTATATGATATATATGCGTACATATAATTCAGCATGTTTAAGGATGAATACTGCATGGATAAACCTCAAGGGCATTATGCTAATGAAATAATCAAGTCACTGAGGCCAGATACTGCATGATCTCACTCACATTAGGAATCTGAAATGATCAAACCCATGGAAACAGAGAGCAGAAGAGCTGTTGCCCTGGAATGGAGGAAGGGAAACAGAGTTGCTGTTCAGTGGATCTGAAGTTTCAGTTACTCGAAATGACTGCGCGCCGGAGACCTGCTGCCCGCGTGGCGCCTGCAGTTCCCAGCGTGGTGCCGTGCATGTGACAGTGTGTTAAGAGTGTGGACCTCATGTTAAGTGTTCTCACCACAATAAAACAATGCAATATATTAGGAATCTAAATTTATTTGAAAGTCAGTTTCTAGTGAATTTAGTGTTATATTTCCTTCACGTGTCTTTATTAATACCACAGCATGATGATGGCTTTGGTGTCGATGCAGAGCCCCTGCATGCACACCAGCCCTACCCTTGGCACTGAAATACAGTCTTGTGTCACACTGGAGGGAGGTGACGTGTGCTACTACCAGCGACAGACCAAATTCTAGGTAGCCCCTGATGAGCGCCCTTCTTGACTAGGCCTCAACTTTGGCCTAGAAAACTACTACGATAGATTCTCATCACAAATGACCTCTCTTTCTCTCTGTCACACACACACACACACACACACACACACACACACACACACACACACACACAGAGAGAGACTTGAACAAACACTTGCATGGTTCTGTCGACTCAAGGCTGTGTTGCTAGGGTGACAATTCCAGCCCTGTTAAGTTCTTGCTTGGAAAAGCTCGAGGTTGCCAAAAGAATATACTGTTTATTCCAGATAAAACCTGACAACAGGTACCCCTGTCTTCCAGTCTCTGTGGGAGGGTAGGTCCCTAACTTTGATAAATACCTGTTAGCAAACCCAGATAGCCTAATCACATTGGGATACCTGCCTCCTGATTTTTGTAAATTTCCACTCTGCTTGCATCCCTTCCTGCCTCCCCACGTCTTACTCCCTAATTCTCCCTTTAAAATGCTCAACCAGCCCTGGCTGGTGTAGCTCAGTGGATTGGGTGCAGACTGCAAACTAAAGGGTTGCTGGTTCAATTCCCAGTTAGAGCACATTCCTGGGTTACAGGCCAGGTCTACAGGGGGCCATGTGAGAGGCAACCACACATCGATCTTTCTCTCTCTCTCTTTCTCCCTTCCTTCCCCTCTCTAAAAACAAATAAATAAAATCTTTAAAAAAATGCTCAATCACCTCTGCACAGATGGAAGCCTAGTTCAGTTCACGCTCAACTCTCCTCTTTTTGGAGTCATTGTTCCTGGTTAAAATCTGCCCTTCCCTCTAACCAGTGTTAGGCTTTATTTTTAACACCAGTCACAAGTGCTGTTGGGTCTGCTTCCATTGCTCTGTACCCTGACAGCTGCTGGCTGGTCAGAAGCCTTTTACTCTACTTAGACCAGGAAATTATTTCCTGTTAGCCCTTTTGTTAAAGAAGTTCATTAGTAGGCACAAGAAGAAATTAGTATTTTCATATATTGAAAAATACATAGTATTTTTTTTATGAACATTTAGGTTGTTTCCACACCTTGGCTATTGTGAATGATACTGCAATGGATATAATGTGCAAGCATCTATTTAAGGCCCTACTTTCAATTCTATTGGATAAATACCCACAAGTGGGATTTCTGGGTCATATGGTGGTTCTACCTTTAATTTTTTGAGGCATCTCCATTCTGTTTTCCATAATGGCTACAACATTTTCCATTCCTACCAACAGGGTACAGGGTTCTAATTTCTCCGCTTCCTCACCAATGCTTTTGTTTGTTTACTTGTTTTGGT